TATTTTTTAATTGGATTATTTGGGTTTTGTTGTTGTTGAGTTGTAGGAGCTCTTTATATATTCTGGATATTAATCCCTTTTCAGATATAGGATTTGCAAATATTTTCTCCCATTCTGTAGATTCCCTTTTCACTCTGATTGTGTCCTTTGATGCACAGAAGTTTTTAATTTTGATGTAGTCCAATTTATCTATTTTTCTTTTGTTGCCTGTACTTTTGGCGTCATAGCCAAGAAATCATTGCCAAATGCAAAGTCATGAAGGTTTCCCTGTGTTTTCTTCTAAGACTTTTATAGTTTTAGCACTTATGGTTAGGTCTTTGATCCATTTTCAGTTAATTTTTTATATGGTGTAAGGTAAGGGTCCAACTTCATCCTTTTGCATATAGATATCCAGTTTTCTCAGCACCATTTGTTGAAAAGATTGGTACTCTTGTTGAAAATCATTTGGCCATATATATGAGGACTTATTTCTGGGCTCTCTATTCTACTCTACTGGTCTGTATGTCTGTCTTTATGCCAGTACCACACTGTTTGATTACTGTAGTTTTGTAATAAGTTTTGAAATCAGGAAGTGTGAGACTCCCAACTTTCTTCTTTTTCGAGATTGTTTTGGCTATTCAGGGTCTCTTGAGATTCCATTTTAGAATGGACTTTTCTTTTTCTGGAAAAAATGTCATTAGGACCTTTATAGGACTTGCATTAAATCTGTAGGTCACTTTGAATAGTATTGACATCTAACAATATTAAGTCTTTCAATGCATGAACACAGATGTCTTCCACTTATTTGTAGACACAATTTAATTTCTTTGATTTCAGCAATGTTTTGCAGTTTTCAGGGTACAAATCTTTTGCCTCCTTCGTTAAGTTTATTCCTAAGTATTTTATTCTTTTTGATGCTATTATAAGTGGAATTATTTTCTCAATTTCCTTTTCAGATTGTTCATTGCTAGTGGATAGAAACACAACTGATTTTTTATGTTATTGATTTTGTATTCTGCAACTTTGCTGAATTTGTTTATTAGTTCTAACAGTTTTTTGTGGAATTAAAGCCCTTCTTGATGCTCATCAGATCTGGCCAGGAGACTCTGCCAGGATATTTCCTTCACTTTCGTTCCTAATCTTCCTTGGCTCCTTATGCTGCAGTCATCACCAAGAACATCAGGGGAGAGATGCTTTGCTCAAAATGCTGCCACCAGCAGGACCTTCTGCCTTGGTATTTGGACTGAAAGGTGGATTGGCATTTTTAGATGTGTTTGGTTGTTGGCACCCCAATCCTGAAACCCCAAAGCACCTACACTGTCCCTACAATCGTGACATCCCACCAAAATGGAGGTGAGTAGGTGTGAGGGGCCTAGACGCCAGAAACTTGGACACGTCAGGAATTCCTTTGGGCCAACTTGTAGCAGAACCTCCCTTCTTGAATAGCTTCTTGGTGCCATTCCTGAAGAAGATGGAGTGGACTGACTCTGGCTCTGGTCTCTCAACCCCATCATTTGCTGTATTAGAATCCCTGACCAGGGCCTGGCCCGGTGGCACAGCGGTTAAGTGTGCACATTCTGCTTCAGCAGCCTGGGTTTTGCCAGTTCGGATCCCTGGTGCGGACATGCCACCACTTGGCAAGCCATGCTGTGGCAGGCGTCCCACATAGAAAGTAGAGGAAGATGGGCACGGATGTTAGCTCAGGGCCAGTCTTCCTCAGCAAAAAGAGGAGGATTGAACACAGAAGTTAGCTCAGGGCTAATCTTCTTCTTCTTCAAAAAAAGAATCTCTGACCTATATGAGCAGCTGTGCACTGCAGCTTCATGGACATGGGCCTCTTGGGCCCAAACAACTTGGTTTGGGTTCAAAAAGCATTTGGTAGAAGAACAAGGAGTACACATTCGTTGCCATCAGGAAAATGCAGTTATACCATTCAACTGTGTATCTTTCCAACTACGTCTCAACTCCACACTGATACTACCTTCCAATTCCTTCCACTTTGGGAAGGTTAAGCCTCTCTAATTGATATTCCATCTTTCTAGGGACCCACCACAACCCATGGGATGCTTTTATTCAGGTATTTCTGAGCTACCTCTTACAGAGTCCTCTTTCTACCAAATGGCAGAGTTTGATCTAGAGGAAATCGAATTACCATCATCATCTCTCTCTGGGGGCATTGATCAGCCCTCAGAATCTTCAGGGCCATGGATTTAGGGGCTACTTTCAGGGGTCTAGCCTGTACTTGTCTTTGACTAGGTCTCTCAAGAAACTTATCCCACCATTTTGAGATCACCTGAGGCTTATGGTCACTGTAACCCAGACCATCCTCCTGTCAAACACCATAAGGCAAAGAGGATACCAGGATTCAGGGTGATACCTGTGAAATGGGTGGCATAGAGCCCAGCCTATAGCTCTGCCTCATTTCAATTTCAAATTTCATACGGTCCAGAACCACAGGGTTAGTGCCCTGTTATGGAAATGGAAATTCTTAACTCAGGAGACTCTCACTGGAAAAGAAGAATCATAGAATTTCGTGGTCTGTGACATGAGCTTGAACCGACAACCATCAGCAGAAAAGAGCAACGAGAGAAAGAGCAGACAAAGGATCACACCACTGTCCGTACAAACGTCTCTCCTGGCCTGGGGCTCCATCTCAGCCTTGATATCTCTCTTCCTACGTAGGGCTACCTGGATTCTGGTCCTTGGGGCATGACATCTTACCTAGGTGCCATCACCATCTTTCAGACCCTACTCAATGACACAGCTGCACTATAAATTAGGGAATCATGAAGCCTCCTTTAACCTTCGGGACTCTGGAGGCCCCGGGATCTTGTCCAGCCCTTCTTGGGCCTTCTGCAGCCACATGAGCATATTTTAGTGTCATAGCTCAGAACAATGACACAGTCTTCTGGGGTTTCATTCCTTGACCAAATGGGGCCTGTCCTCCAATGTCAAGGCAAAGCTACTAACATCAAGCTGGTCAAGAGATTCATGATCTCGGGGTCCTGAACAGGATGATCTCAGATCCTTCTTCATATACCATCAGGAACTCTATTCTCTGTCTTTTAGGTCAGTGGTTTTCAAAGGACTTTCCTTGGAGCCCCTCTAGGGGGTACTAGAAGAAGATGAAGCAGGAGGAACTCCAGCACCCTGCCTCCCCACTTTCCTGCCTTCAGTCAGAGCAGCCCTGCTTTTCTGTTATATTTTTAGCTTCATCCTAATATTTTTATTAGAACAATGAATTCCAAAGCTTTTAAAAAAGGTTAGGAAACCAATGACCCGTTCCAAGGGCACTGTTCTGTTGCTAACACTCCTAGAAATGAAGCACATTCACCAGATTGCACTCTCACCACAGACGATCAGTACCTCCTCTAGAATTCCAGCCACAAGTACATTATCCATCCTTTCCCCCTCAGGATTGTTGGGCAGGAATCCTATGGACAGAGGGCATGATTCTGCTGAAACACACTCTGCCTGTCCCATATAAACCACAGCCTCCAGCCTCCACACAGACACAGCCTTGACAGTTAGATACCTCAGGGTACCCAGGGCAGCCTAGTCTGAACCCCACACTATGCAGGTGAAATACGGACATGCGCCTAGCCTTGCTGGAGATTTCCTCCACTGCTAACTTTGGTCAGTCTGTTCTTCCTTTTCACTGTCACCCAGGCTTCAGTCTATGACTCTCACCAGCCTTGTCTCCCTTGCACTCAGGATCCAAGGACACCCAATGGCCTAGCCAAGCTTGTCAAGGAGTAAAGGAGTTTGAGATGGGTATTCTTGGGCTCCGGGATCTTGAAGATGAAGCCTAAAGCCAGATTTTAACCCACTCCTTCTTTCCCAACTTGTATCACCAGGATGAAGCCCCATCCTGAATTCAGAGACTTATCTTGGTGCAGAAAGGAGCAGGGCTCTGACAGCAGGCCCTGTAGGTTGGGCCCTTCTTTATTTCCCAGGCTCTGAATAGTGCTCCTGAGGTCTGACTTGCCAGATGTGCAGCTAAGCCCTGGTTTCCACCACAGCTCTCCAGCTTTCTCCAAGGGACACAGGCCTAGCTCTCAGCCCCTTTCCTGGCATCTTTGCTGCTGCCTGAGGAAGAGTGGACACAAGTAGGGGCCAGACTTGTTCTGGTCTACAGGCAGAACTTGTTCTCCCACAAGCATGAACAGGTGGAGAGGGATCAAGGCAGGAGAACAGGGAAAGTCAGAAAGGAGGCAGCAAGGCTCAGGGAGGGTCCTGGAAGCTCAGTGAGTGAATGAGGTAGTGGAGGTAGGAGTTAAGAAAAGGGGTCAGGGGTTCAGCAAGTGTAGTGGGGAAAACGCTAATGTTGAAGGCTCAGGAACCCAAGCTTTCTGCCCTCTTTAGGCCTTTGGGAGAGACACCCAGGTTCAGTTTGTGCTAGGTGTGGGGATTCATCATTCTAGTGCTTGCTGTCTGGGGATGAGGCAGTATGATGAGACAACTGTTTTCTTCACTGTTTTTTGATCCAGAACCATCCCTGATTTGAGCAAGAAGGGGCATTGATTCTAGCCACTGCCATCAGGCTGACTGGCAATGGTGTACTTCTCTTCTCCAAACCCAGTCTGAATACAAAGGCCTTCTCTAAGGAAACTGCCCCCTCCCCCCCCCCCCCCCCCCCTTAATAGGGCTGAAACAGTCCAAAATAGCCTTTCCCAGATTCTTAGAACAGAAAGGTCAAACATATAAAAGATGCATATAGGGCTCTAGACAACCAGAGATATGGACTCAATCACTTTTCACAAGAGCAGCAATGAGTCTCTCTGGGTTTTTCCAGGACCCAGGTTTTCCTGATGGAAATCTGGGTTGAGTTCCTTTCCTCTGGATCTGTCTATACTCATCCTGCCCCTCAAAGAAACCCAGCTTTGTAGCCCCAGGACCCTCTCACTCCCTACACTCTTCCCAGAGCTAGATGATGGTGAGTTACCTTCCTGAGCTCCTCCTCGTACTCTGGAGACCAAGAGGACTTAGGGTCCCCAGGTCACTCCTGGATTTATCCCCAGAGGACCGAAAGCTGTTTGTGGGGATGCTGGGGAAGCAGCAGGGTGAGGAGGACGTCAGACGCCTGTTCCAGCCCTTCGGCCATATCGAGGAGTGCACCGTCTTGCGGAGCCCTGATGGCACCAGTAAAGGTGACATGAGCTGACCCTGGGTTTCCTGGTGACCCTGTCTCATTCTGGGCCTCATGACCCTTTGGCCCCTGTGGCCTGAGCCACCCAATCCCTCTATCCTGCCCCAGGCTGTGCCTTTGTGAAGTTTGGGAGTCAGGGGGAAGCTCAGGCGGCCATCCAGAGTCTGCACGGCAGCCGGACCATGGCGGTGAGGGCGGGCGCCGGGGGCCGAGGGTGAAGCCAGTGGGGGTGGGGACGGGCTCCTCCTCCCCAAATGCAATCGGTGCTCCAGGAAAAGGCCTGATGGGCAAGGCGCTCTGCCCAGGGCCAGGGCTGGGGCCTGGACCACTCACCGCGGCGTCCCCTGCCCAATCCAGGGTGCGTCGTCCAGCCTCGTGGTCAAGCTGGCGGACACAGACCGGGAGCGCGCGCTGCGGCGGATGCAGCAGATGGCGGGCCAGCTGGGCGCCTTCCACCCGGCGCCGCTGCCGCTCGGGGCCTGCGGAGCCTACACCACGGCGGTAGGTGCCCGGGCCCCGGCGGGCGCGGGCGGGTAGGCGGGCGGGGTGCCGGGCCAGGGTCGGAGCTAGGGCAGCTGCCCGCCGCTGGGCCCTCCACATCCGTCCTTCTTCCCTCTTAAAGATCCTGCAGCACCAGGCGGCCCTGCTGGCGGCGGCGCAGGGCCCGGGCCTAGGCCCGGTGGCCGCAGTGGCGGCACAGATGCAGCACGTGGCGGCCTTCAGCCTGGTGGCCGCGCCGCTGTTGCCCGCGGCAGGTACTACGGGCAGGGGAGGGGGCCGCGGTGGGAGGGGGCGGCGCGGGGCTGCGGCCTGACTCTCCGACCTCCTCCGCCGCCAGCAGCTAGCTCCCCGCCCGGCGGCGGCCCGGGCACGCTTCCTGGTCTTCCGGCGCCCATCGGGGTCAATGGATTCGGCCCCCTGACCCCCCAGACCAACGGACAGCCGGGCTCCGACACTCTCTACAGTAATGGGCTCTCCCCTTACCCAGGTGGGCCCCCAGCTCCGCCTAAATCTCCCTGAAATGGAGTGGGGAGCGTGGGGGAGGGGGAACCGGCCTCCCTGGGAAGGGACTCCTCGTTGCCTGCTGCTTCTCACAGGCTCCCTCCACCTCCCACACTCCCTGAGCCTCTCACCGACCCTGCCCACCTGACCACCTTCACCGTGGGCCTCACGCCCCTCTCTCCCCAGCCCAGAGTCCCGGCGTGGCTGACCCCCTGCAGCAGGCCTACGCTGGGATGCACCACTACGCAGGTTTCACTTGGCGCTCCGCGGCCTGGGGGGAGGTTGAAGGGCCCCAGAAAGGAATAGGGAGATTCGTGGGGGGTTTAGGCTCTGTTCTGAGGAGTCGACTCTCCCATCCCCCGACCCCTGGGCCCAGAACGACTTCTCTAGGGGTGGGGGTTACCGTGGACTAGTCTGAATTGGTCAAAGGTGGTTAGGCAGATGGGAGATGGCTCCTGGGGATCGCTGCCCACTCCCACCTCTGTCTCCAGCAGCCTATCCGTCGGCCTATGCCCCCGTGAGCACAGCTTTCCCCCAGCAGCCTTCAGCCCTGCCCCAGCAGCAAAGAGAAGGTGAGGGACAGGGGCCTGGAGATCAGGGCCTGGTGGGGCTGGACTCAGAGTCCCTCCCCTGAACCAGCCTGCTGCTGTTCCTGCAGGCCCCGAAGGCTGTAACCTCTTCATCTATCACCTGCCTCAGGAGTTCGGTGATGCAGAACTCATACAGACATTCCTACCCTTTGGAGCTGTTGTCTCTGCCAAAGTCTTTGTGGATCGAGCCACCAACCAGAGCAAGTGTTTTGGTGAGCTGAGCCCCATCTGTGGGCCTCTCCCACTCCTAACTTTGAGATCCCCTACAGACCCTAAGATTATCCCTCCATAAGTCAATGATTCCTAGAAACTGACCGTATGGCATTAAGCAGCATGGCAGACCAGTGACGGCGCGACGCCTAGACCAGGAACAAGTCTATTTCAGGTTCACCTGGGAAAGTCAGGTGTCTAGAAGATGTTCCACCAGGTCAAGCTTTAGAGTCTAGCCTGGACAGGAGGAGTCTGGGTCTGGGACCAGGGATCCCCTCCAACTCCAACTGCAGTTCAGAGGACCAGAATGGGAGCAGTAGAGGCAGCCAGAGTCAACCCATGCCAGGGAAGGACAGGGAAACACTTCAGCCAACACACTGCCTGCCCTCCCCCCCACACACACACACTCAGAATCGCCTCCTTTCCTTCTTTTTTTAATTTGTGTGTGTGTGAGAGGAAGATTGTTGCTGAGCTAACATCTGTGCCAGTCTTCCCCTATTTTATATGGGGTGCCGCCACAGTGTGGCTTGATGTGTAGTGCTTGATGATCTGCGCCTGGGGTCCAAACCCATGAACCCTGGGCTGCCGAAGCAGAGCACGTGAACTTAATCACTGTGCCACTGGGCCAGCCCCCTTCCTTTCCTTCTAAGAATCATCCCTGTAGGAAACTCCGGCCACTTGCCCGTGTGTGCATGTGTGTGTGCAAACAGTGGAGGGTGGAGGGGTATATGTTTGATGGAACTGGCCCGAGGGGGCAGAGAGAAGAGGGGGCTGATCAGACAGAAAGGAGGCTGTGCCAGGCAGAGTTCCCAGCTAACCTCTCTGCCCACACCCCCTAGGGTTTGTTAGCTTTGACAATCCAACCAGTGCCCAGACAGCTATTCAGGCCATGAATGGCTTTCAAATTGGCATGAAGAGGCTCAAGGTCCAGCTAAAGAGGCCCAAAGATGCCAACCGGCCTTACTGATCTACTCTCACTGACCAGCCACAGAAAGGTGAGTCCTTGGTGGACCCCAGGCAGATGGGGCCTGAGTGATGGAGGCCTCTCAGCTTTGATGGTCCTTTTGGGATGTTGGGGGCACCCACCTCTGAAAAAGTCTGGGAGGGAAGAGCCAGGAGTTAGAGGGATCCTCAGCTGGAGACCTTGTGTTTTTCCTTCAATCCAAGGACTGAGACAAATTAGACGACCCTCCTGCCCTCACAGTCTGGGAGAGACAATTACAGCAAGATCCAACCAGTTCTACTCCAGAGGTAGCTGCAGGGGGCCATGGGAGTAGAGAACTCATGTGTGGGAAGGGCAGGGACTTGGACAAGGAGACTAGAAAAGTAGGTTTGGACCAGCTTGTGAAGGGTCTTAAAGGCCATGAGTTTGGACGTTATCCTACAGATGGTAGAGAACCAGTGAGGAATTTAAACAAAGAAAGGACAAGATGTGAGGGCTGGGACAATGGCAGTGAACATAGGGATGAGGAGAGAAGCAAATACATGGAAGAAACAGGATCTGCAGGGCCTGCTGGGCCATGGGGAGGGAAATGACAAGCTCTTTTAGGTTTCTGGCAGGGCCAGCTGCCTACGACTTTTAGAGATTTACTGTCTCAGAAGATCCACATGGCCCTGCCTCACTTGAGCTACCCTAGGGAGCCTTCTGGAGGGGGTGCCAGGCTGGGGCCATCTGCCCAGGATCCAGGGTGTGGCATCAGTGGTCTCAACCCTGCTGAGCTCTGCTCCTCAGGAGGAGAGGTCCAGCCACTCACCTAAGATGTCACTGATGGGAGAAGCTGCAATTCTTGTCTTGCCCTCCAGAGTGATTTTGCCTTTTTTCCTCCCCTCTCTCTTTACCAATTAATACCCAACAACAGAAACTGGGGAGTGAGAAGAAAGGAAAGGAAAAGCACAGAAACGCTTGAGCAGCCCTTCATGAAGGAGCAGCCACAGACGGAGGTGGATCAGATCCAAGGCCGGCACCTGGGGCTCAGGCCACTTGAAGGATTGTTTTCATCCGAGTGGGTTGTTTTGTGCCTGTGGCATAGAGCTCAGGCTGGCAAGACAACTGGGGCTGGCTGAGGATTGACTGTCTAGGGAACCAGCAGAGGGCCTTGGGGGTGCCAAGGGCTTCTCCACAAGGGAGGCCCAGATTTGCTTCTTTGAAAATCATATCATTCCTTAGAGTTTAGGGACCAAAGGACTATTGCTTTTTTAAGAATATATATATCTATATAAATTAAAACAAAGAAACAAACAAAAAAAACCACAAGAGAAACAAAAAAGACAGTATAGAGTCTCATAAAAGCTGCCTTTAAATATCCCTAGGAGCCAGGGTGAGGGAGACCCTTGAAAGCCCCAGCCTGGGCAGAGCGAGGCTGTGGAAAGATTGTTCTGTGTCTCATTCCCTCTTAAACTTCCCCCAACCCTCACCTTTTTAAAATAATTAAGGACTTGAGGTCTAGACTCATATACAGGTAATAAGAGAGTTATGAAGCAGTGAACCCACAATCCTCAAACTCAGACAGCATCCCTGAAGAGGACCCAGGAGGCGCTCTGGCCTGCTCTGGCCTCTACCACCCTGAGAGTCCTCCTAGCCAGCAGGAGTGGGAACCTGCCTTTCCTTCTTGACAGCCTTTCCTGTGGAACCACCGCTTCCCCAGGCAGGAAGAAAGGGAGATTTGGCCACCCTAGCCTTTCCCTTCCCCATCCAGATAGACAGAGGCCCTGCCTTTGGCTGAGCCGAGACACCTCCTGTTTCCCCTCTCCTTGAGCCAGACCCTGTGTCCCCTTGCTCCAGGCCACCTTCTGTCTCTAAGTCTAAGTTTGCCCACCTGTAAAGTAGATTCAGGATATATGTAGAGGGCTGTGACAACAGACTAGGAAGGTTTGCTACTGTATATACTGCCATTGAGAAGGGGGTAATGTTCAATATGTAGAAGCTTCAGAATTTAGAGGTCCCTCTTTACCTAGGACCTGGGAGGGAAGTAGATGTTTTGCCAAAATACTTCTTCATTCCTTTAAAAAGTACATCTTTCCTATGCAAGAGTGTCTCACATGTGCTTATCCAAGGTGCTTCTAGATGGTGAGCAGTGTTCAGCTTAGAAGTGGTATGTGCTCTGTCTGTCTGTCTTTGTCTGTCTGTTGTATACAGTGGGTGCCATATAAAGCTGATCAATGGTGGTGCTTCCTGCCTGCTTCTGTGAGATGGGCAAAAGATTCAGCTTAGAACACCACGACTCTCTTTGCCTTGGTCAGCCTTTCCTGGGCCTGCAGGGCTTGCACATGTTTTTCCCAGGAGGATAATTTCCCCTCCACGCCATAGACGTGGATCAGACTAGTCTGGGGCCCCAGCTGTGTGATGGGCACTCTGATCCCCAGATATTGCTGAGGCTGGAAGCCTCTCATCTGGTATCACATCAGACGGTAAAGGATGTGGGGGTGGGGGTGGAGGGTTCCTCCTTCATAACAGTTTCTAAGAAAACTTGTTCCCACTTATTCCTCTGTCTTTGACTCATTTTTGGAGGGAATGGGAATGAAAAATAGATACAATAATGACCTTACCAGGCAAGGTGTGGTATATACCAACAAATAATTTCCAACTGAGAGAGGAACCAGCACTAAGGGCATCTGTACACGAGCACAATGCTGACACATAGACTGATTACCCTGGACACAGATGAAGATATGTAGCACCTGCACATTCAAACATATATTCACATGGAGGTGCTAGGTACTAGTTGCTAAGCCCTTGCTAGGAGCTGGGGCTCAGGCATGTTCTAAGTAGTCAGAGTTAGGGGGGAAGACAGTTAGGGGGGAATGCAGTTATAATGGAGGGCCACACAGGGTCTGTGATAGCAAGAAAACTACCTAATTCAGACTTGATTGGTAGGGGAGGTCAGAGAAAGATTTCCTGAAGGAAATTAAGGAGGGGAAGGGTCATCGAGGATGAACTGGGACCTTTGGACAAAGCCATTTGGATAGCTGCATCATTTTGATAAATTATCTTTATTACCAAGAAATAATAATGATACCAATTATTCAGTGCCTGTTATGTGGTAGACAATGGGCACAAGACAAGACCTTTTCCTATCCCTAACTCTACCTGGAACTTTAACTCATTGTCAAGTCACGTCAAGACCCTTGAACTAAAATGGCATTTAAAGTAGTTTGTTTCATGATTAGGCACTGGCAGACTGTGTGCCAATGTGTAAGGAGTTGGCAGGGTCTAGATTAGGGGTTGGCAAACTACGGCCTGTGGGCAAATCTTACCTGCAGACTTTTTTTTGTATGGCCTACAAATTAAGAATGGTTTTTACATTTTTAAAGGGTTGTAAAAATAAAACAAAACAAAAAAGAATATGAGACAGAGACCATATGTGTCCCACGAAGCCTAAAATATTTATCTGGTCCTTTAAACAAAAAGTTTACCGACCCCTATAAGATCCTGGAAGACTTGTATAATGTCACTGAGTTTGAACAACATGGTGTTTGTGTCTCTGTTGTGTGTGCATGTATTAGTCTGAACCCTTTCAGTTGCAGGTGTCAAAAACCCAACGCAAACATGTTTAAGTCAATAAGAAATTAATTGGCTTACATAATTGATAAATCAAAAGATGTATCTGCCTTCAGGCACAGCTGGATCTAAGGGTCCAAATGATAATATCTCCATCTCTTGGCTCTGCTTCCCGCTGTATATTGGCCTCACTAGTTCTATCTCTAAAGTCCTAGGGAGGACCTTGGCCAGAATGGACATGTGCCACCTCTAGGGTGGAAGAGTAGGCCACCATAGTTGACAACATCACCAGGACTGTGCAGAGGGGAGAAATGGGTCCCCAAAGGAAAGGATGGTGGGCAGATAAGCAATAGGCATCCACTACATTCCACCCCTTTATTGCTCAGCATCCACCTATACTTTTCTTGACAAACACAATTTCAAAAATGTGCCTGCCTAACAATGCAATGATCTTAGGGCCAACAAAAAAACACCCACTTCCCAATGGAAGACAAACCAGAATCATGTCCAGTTGCTTTATCGAGCCCTCAGTCCAGGGTCTCTTTGTGATGTGCAATTCTTGATCAGGTCTGGATATAACTTCTTAAGATTTTGCAATCTACAGCTAAAAAGGTAAATTTAGCTGCCCTTACATAACCAATATGAAATAGTGGAGAGTAATAGAATAACCATTTTTTAAAAGGAAAAAAACACCTTCCATTTGGAATAGAGGAGAAGAGAAAACAGTGCTCACTAATCTATGGCATAAAGCACATCCTTCCACACAGTGGAGTAAGTTTCCTTGTCAACAAAACTGTTTGCCCTTGGTCCTTTCCACTGGAAAATATCTCCTTTATCCATTGTCCTTTATGGACATCCCTGAGAGGATGCCCCTTCTGGAATTGAAGCACCCCTCTTCCCTTTGGACATGGTTTTGGGCCTAAAGTTTGCCTTAGAGATTACGCATTCCCAGATCCCTGTTTGCCAGGTGTGAAGATTTTCTCTCGATACGATTCCTTTCAAACTGATTGGTTTGATTCCCGGGATCTCTGTGAGCTAGTAACCATCATCAAGAATCTTGCTGAGTCCTTGTCCTTGAGTCTGGACCTGGTCCTTGTGGTTTTCGTCTCTTAGCTACAGGTCACACTTTGTCCATTCCCCTCCCCATCAGCTTCATGGCTTCCATAATGGCCCGTCTGTGGTGATAAGTCAAGCTTAATCTGTCCCATGCCCGCAGAGAGAGATTACCTCTTCAACACTCGGCTGGCGCATGCTCCAGTGGCCCTGACCAGATAGTCAAAATCCCTGAGTAGGACTGACTCCTAGGCTTCAGCCCCAAGGAGATGCTTAGGAGAGGAGGGAGGCAATCACTCAGCCACTCATTCTGGCCAGCCTGCAGCTTGCTCTACTCCTCACCCTCTGGCCATGGTCCATGATTACACTGAGACCACATCACCAAAGTACTCCTGAGGGGAGTCTGTCAGTGGACACTGAATTTGTGGGCCCTCTGAGAATTTGTATAACTTGGGGACTGTGGGCAGAGTCTTCAGCCTTCAGCAGGGCCCCCAGGATCTCTTTCTTTCTCTGGATGCAACCTGGGTGTTTTGGATGCAGGGAGAAGAGACCTTTGATCTGATATAAGACTAATGACCTCTGACCCTGGAAGCAGCTCTGGATCCACTATGTGCTCTGACCAGATCTGGAGTCTCGCTTCTGCCTCAGTGGAACAGAACAGGCATGCAATACCCTCCAAAAGAGGGTGCTAAGGACATGGAGATCACAGAACCTCTCTTGAACTTTTTCCAGCTTTGGTTGTAATCTTTGGGCATCCACTGTCCTGACTGCACTTCCCTACATCGTGACACAGCCAAACCCAGCAGGGCCTCAGAGGCTATTTTTGGCCTCTAGGCCTCCCCTGATGGCCAGTATATCTGCACGATTGTGTTACACAGCCCTGTCTTCTTTGGGAGAGCCAATGAAGGAAGAAACCTCCTGGGCTCAGGGAGCTCAGAACCAATGCAGGCCAAGCAGCTGCCCTTCCAGCCTGAGCAACATGGGGTCCACAAAGAGGCGACCAAGTCTGTGCCAAGCGCAGACTCAGAGAGGGCAGAAAGCCACTCTTTTTTTCCCCAGCCCTGATTTCAGACATTGCTATCAAAGTGTTCTCTACCCTCTATCAAGAGCCTTTGATTGGCCATCTGTAGATGGGACTTTGAACTTCTAGGCTCTGGCCTCCTGCCCTCCAGTTGCCTAAGAGTACAGAGACCCAGAAGGCAGAGTAGGCGGCAAGCCTGGGGCTGCCTTTTCCCAAGGGCAATCTTAGGTGCCCAGGAGAAAATGCACGGACCCACGAAGAGAGCCTGTGAATGAGCCTCAGCTTCTCTTTGACAATTGGACAGAAACAGCCTGACATAGTGACCTTGGCACTGCACCCCCTACAGGAAGCCAGCATTCTGGGCTAGATTCGCTGTATTTCAGCAGGAAAAATCCGTTGTGTCCTCAGGACTTTCTTGCTGCCCCACTGTTGGCACTCAGTGGTCAGATGGGGGCTTTGATTGTGGCTCCATATCTTAACCCAAGTACTCTAGAAAGCAGACTGTAAGGCAAGGATTAAAGTGCTCACACTGTTGTGGGAGATAGAACTCAGGATGGTGAGAGGGGAGAGGAGACGTGAGGCAAGGAAAGATGTGAAGGAATGTAAGACAATGGATTACTGTGTTGGCCCCTGCTTCACATGAGCCATGAGGAGACAGCAGCTCACCTGACAAGGTGGTTTGCTAAGCATATGGTGTTTGCCGGAAGAAACCGCACCTTGGAGCAGTTCACCAAGAGGAGAATTGAGAGGGAATTTATATATCTGTCCCCCTCTCATCTCATGTTTTCCTTTGGCCAAGGTGCACCCCACAGAGAGCTAACTCCACTGCACTTCTGAGTTGTATCATTTGCCTCCTGAGTAGCTGCTTGGGAAATCAGATCCAGTGGCTTGCCATGTGGCATTTCTACCATCATGTGGAATTGGAGGGGCTACTTGGCATAGGTGAGGTGCAAACCAAGAGAGAGAAAGGAGGTGACTCTAGGGAGTCCAAGAAGGTGCATGAGGTTTGTGACCAATACATCCTACTCTCTCCCACAAGATTCACAGCCAAGGTCTCCAGGCACAAGAACCCCCCAGCACTGTCTGAACTCTAAGCGAAATAAACATTATTTAATTTGGGTGAAAAAAGCATTCAGGTGTGGTTTGGAGGATCAGGTTTTTTCTCTGGAATTTCCCAGGCCCTAAACTCCAGTATCTCCTATTGGATTTTCTACCTCTATGCCTTTGTTCTCACTCACTGTAGCTTGGGGAGGAGGATCTGGCTTTTATAATATGTAAGACACATGATTATCTGAGCCTCGGCAGTCTAGCTTGCTGGCCACAGGCAACTCTAAACAAAGCTATATACGGTTCCAGTTCTGCCAGCATGGAAGAAAGCTAAACCACAGGACCTTATGGAAAATCTTGAGCAGAGGCCAGAATACTCCAACATACAGACACTTTTCCAGTGTGTCCCTGAAATCTCCATCTATAATTGATGCATGAGACAAATCTCAAGATAAAATAGAAGGTAACCAGCTGATTTGATACCACACCACAGGGATTTCCAACTTCCCAGCCAAAGATCATCAGATTCCCACTGCCTCCATTTCATTTCACTTCTGCCAATTCCACATTCTAGAGACTGTTGTTTGCACACTCCAGTCCATTTCTTTATTCGGACTGGTTTAATTACAAGTGATAGGAACCAACACAGACCACTTGAAGCAAGAAGGGAACTGAGAAGCGTTGTGGTATTACTGACTTCAGGCGGGACTGAATTCAAGAGCTCAAACAAACGTCATCAGGGCTCTCTCACTCCATCTCTCAGGGCTCTGCTTCTCTTTGTGCCTTGGTTCCATTCTCTTTCCTGCCATAAATAGATTTTCTCCATGTGGCAGGGAGAGCTGGGTAGCAGCAGCTTCCATCTCATATGCTCCCAGCACCATGGCCTCAAAAGCGAGAGAGCTTTGAGGGGAAGATTATGATCGGCTCTATTTAGGTCACAAACCCATACCTGAATTAATCACTTTGGTCAGGGTGATGGAGTCTCCTGCCTGGCCTGATGGGTCATTTATTTATCTCTACGGGGTACAAGGGGGGGGGGCAGAGGTGGCATTGTGACTCTCAGCTCCACCAAGTACTTATGGAGTATAAAGACATGTCCTGCATGGTCTGGAAGAACATGTCATTTAGCCTGGATGGAGTATAGGATGCAGGTGAGCGAGCGGTGAAAGTCACGTAGAAGCCAGATCCAAAGAGAAAGTATAAGTTTTATCCTGGGGGCAGTAGGGAGCCATTGAAGGATTTTAACAGAGGAGTGACATGATCAGATTTGGATTTTAGAAAGATTCCTTTGGGCAGCTAAGTGGAGAATCGATCAGGGGACAATATACTGGGATAGGTGGTCTAGTTAGGAAGCTAGTACAATGGTTCTGGTGATGAGGATTAGGAATTTAAAACAGGGAGTGATTTAAAATGTATTAAGAGGTAAACTTTAAGATGTTTATGAGGTAAAACTAGTTCAGTTTAAATGAGGCTGGGAGAAGTCTAAGATGCTTCTCTCTCAGGATTCAGGCTGAATAAGTCACAGGTGCTACTTACTAAGCTAGGAACATGAAGGAACACTGACTGTGAAGAAGATGAGTTTGCCTGTGAGGCATACAAGTAGAGTTGTCTAAAAGGCAACTGAAACTCAAGAGGTAAAGGATGGAGATAGAGATTTGGGAGTCCTAGTCACTCACAGTCAGTGTGTCACCCAGGCTGATTTAAACAGAAAAGCCATTTGTTGAAAGGGCACTGGCTGGGTCATGGGATTGCCAAGCAGGAGACGCAAGCTTGGAAAATAAGCAGGAACAATGGAAGGACAATCCACCAGAGCAAAAGCCAAAATCAGATACCAGACTCAGCCCAGCAACAATGCTGCCACTGTCATTATCACTGGAAACTAGCACCGGTACTCACGTACAACAGCCCCCCGGCATGGAATAAAGCTGACCCTACTATGGCCACTGCTACCAGGATGAGTTCTCCATGGTTCTGTTTCTCTGAATTATTAACATTTCTGGGGGCTACTTGGCCAGGCCTAGGTCACATGCCTCTCTTTTAGTTGCCAAAGAGCTGGGAAAGCAAAGATTCAACCTTTTCAATGTCTGTCGTGGAAAGTGGGCTCTGCTTACCTCCAAGACTTGTAACATAGGAAGGGGATTCAGATTCTGGGAGGCCCCAAATTACCAAGGTCTGTCTCAAGTGGGTGCTGTTGAGGTCACTGGGAAGAGTGATAAGAGTAGAAATGGGTGTGGACTGAACTCTTTTATAAAAAAATTTCAATAGTGAATGACAGAAAAGGAGTCTATTAAGGATGCTGTGAAGGAGCCATATGAGGTGTAAGAAGAAACTGGAAGAGCATAGCCCGTACAAGCCAACGGAGGAAAGGGATGCAGGCGCAGGGTGATCAACAATGCCAAATGACATGAAGTGGTCAAATAAGCCTGAAATTTTCTAATGGATTTGGCAGTTTGGAAGTAGTTTGGAACTTTGGTGAAAGTATTTTCGGTAGAGATTTTGGGGAGAGGTCAGATGGTACTAGATTTAAGGAATAAATGGGAGGTGAGGAAGTGGAGATGGAGAATGCAGACTACTCCCTGGAAGCTTGGTTGAAGGCAAGAAAATATGTGCAGTAGTCAGTAAGGTGTGGGATTAAAATTGGATTATTTTAAAGATCGGGCAAATTGATCAAGTTTATATGCTGGGGTCAAAGAGTAAGAAAAAAAGTTGAATATCCGTGAAGGAGAGGGGTAAGTGAAGGAGCAGAGTTCCTTAATTTAAGAGGCAAAAGGGGATGAAATACGTATCACAGTGAAAGGATTAACCTTGGATTTGACGGGAGACCTCTCTACCTCCCAGGAAAAAAGGATGAGAGAGATTCAAATGTTTGGAGGGTGCTGAAAATTGACAGCATCTCCCCTCATGGCCTTTATTTTCTCTGTGAAGCAGAATGGGGGATGGGTGGCAGAAGCTGATGTATGGAAGGACTCTGGATGCACTGAGGGCCCAACAGAGGAGACAATTTGTAGTAGCTCTGTGTGGGTACAAGTTAAGTCAACTTAAGCATTTTATTCTAGATAAAGGTAACTCATAGACCTCAAGGTCAGAGGGCCTCAGGAAGGGCCTGGGAAGATTCCAGCAACCAGACAGCAGTCTCGTCATTTCTAGTCTCTACCTCTCCATGCTTCATTCTCTCTCTGTAGATAGTCTTTCTCCATTTCTCATTCCTCAGAGTAGTTGGGAGGCGGATGCACCATAGCTCCCAAGTTTATGTCTCTTCTACTCAAGAAAGCAGTCCAGTTAAAATCATAATCTCTCAGCCCTAATCCAAGATTCCCAATTGATACCATCTGTGTAGCACAGCTTGGATTAGGAATCCACTCACTGTTCAATAAACTGCAGCCGGGGCCCCAGGGGTCACACAAGACAAATATAGTCCTGAGGCCTGTAGATCTGAAGGGTGAGTGTGGAAAATATAATTCCTAAAGGATGGGGCTCATGGGTTGGACTAACCGAAAACAGTGTCCACTCACGAGCTCAATTCTGTAGGATTGGGTGATTTCCTTTGTCCTGGTTTAGGATGTGAGAGTAGAAAAGGTAAATGACCGGAATGATACAGGGATTTTAAGGGCAAGCATATTAACAAAAATGTGAGTAAAGTAACTGACCATAGGATCTGGACCAGACAGGAAAAGAAGTAAAGCCAGGAAGATACTGATAAACCATGAGGCAGTGGAGATTCATGAGATTCATGATAAGTAGAAGAGCTAGTGGTGTGAGATGAGAGGGGGTAAGGAGAGGAAATCCTGGAAGGTTAGAGAATACTGGAGTTTGACAATTCACTCACTGGGACAGACCCCCTGTGCTTACTTAAAGTGCTAATGTTCAAACACTTCTATGCATGCAGGGCTCCAAAGAGCTATTATGGGGCCCTTGCTGGTGAGTTGTTTTAGGCAGCAGAACCAACTCCTGCCCCAACTACTCTGAATTTCTGTACTCTGAGACTAAGACTATAAGTCCTGTTACTTTATATCCCTCACTTTTTTCACTTATTATAAGCAACGGGTATAACAGACCAATACTGAGACAGTGTTGTGGCCCAGGCTGAGTGGCAAGGTGAGAAGAGAGGGGCATAAAAAGGAGAGGGAGTCTGAAAGAAGATGCGGAGGATATTCAAATGTAAAAATGCCACTGTGAAAATTGTGAGTGAGGCCGGCTCAGGAGGGAGAGATATGACACGTGTTTATATCACTCAGGGCCAAAGCCTTCCTTCTGTGTGCTGTGTCCCGCAAAACAGAGGGAGTGAGAAAGGAGAGTAGATCTAAGACAAGTCTTTCCCCATCCGTGCTGATGGAAATGAGGGGCTTGTGGGAGCCCCAAGACACCAAATTCTGATAAGGATGAGGAGGTCTGGTCATGTCTGAGGTTAAGAAACACAATAACCACAATTACAGCTTCCATTTATGGACTACTTTCTAGTCCTCTGCTGGTTACTTTATATGTATGAGGTTGAACCATATGAAATTGTGGGTATTTGCCTCTTTATATCCCACAAAACGGTAATTGCATCCAGTTCAACCTACCATCTCATTTCAGGATGAACCTCACACACACACAGCAGCCTCATTAAGTAGCTATTATTGTCCCCACTTTACAGATGAGAAAATTAAGACTCAGAAAGTGAAAGTCTTAGTTTAAAGCTGAACAGACAGCTGAAACCAAGCTTTGAAACTAGATTGTCTGAATAGAAGGCCACAGTGCTATCCCCCAACACACCACAGCTATCAAGGGCGCAGGAGAGTTAAACTTAAGAATTAAAAGACCCTCAGGCGTTCGACACCTCATTGCAAACCAGAGATTCTTGGAGTCAGCAGGGTCTCAGAAGGCCCGGCCCAGGCCTCCAACAAGAGGCAGCCAAGACTTCCTTCCCTCCTCATTCCTCCTAACCACACGGGGCGCCAAACGCCAACAGTCTCTTCGGAGGGCCCTTCGCGCACCCCCGGAGCCCCTCTTGTTTCTTCATGCACCCGCCCGCCCCGACCCACAGCGCAGGCGCCCTCCCCCGCTCCACAACCCCTCCCCACCAGCGGCCACTGCGCAGGCGCCCCAAGCCTGGCATCGGGGAGGATGCCGCGCCCAGGGGCGGGCCACGTGGCAGTTGGTTGGGAGCAGGGCACGTGGCCGCGGTGTCGTTGCGCGAGCGTGCGCAGAGTGGCCCAGCGCGCCCGTGACGGAACGACGAGGCGTGGGGTGCACGACCTCGCCCTCCGGGCCGGCCCCCGCCCCTTGGCCTGCTGCTCCGCCCCCGCGGGGCGTCCCGGGCCGCTCGTCCCTTTGGCGGCGGCAGCGCGCGGCCCGGGGTCGCCGTGAGTACTCGCGATGCTCGCCTTTGCGGCGGCCGCCACGGGGACGGGGACGGGGAGGGGACGGGACGGGGCGGGGCGGCCGGGCCGCGGGCAGGGTGCGGGGCCCGCCCCGCCTCGGCCGGGGTGGATGAAGTGAGGGGCTTGGACCGGGTGGCCGTAGGTGCCCGTAGGCTTGACAGGCTTTGCTGAAGCCGGGCGGCTGGCGACACCGATGAGGCAGAGCTTCTTCCCCGGGAGGCAGGTGTTGGGTGTCTTTGGGGTTTCCAGAGGAAACCGGAGAAGAGCTCTAACTGCTCCCCCAAGGGAGGCCTCAGGGCCTGTCCTAAAAGTGTTTTGGGGGCTCAGCTTGTCGTCTCCCTCTACTGGGTATCCAAGACAGCGCTACGCTGCGAGAATCGCCCCGCCGCGGGTGCTCCCCCGCACTCTTTGTTCAGTGGCCTAGTCTTCCTGAGAAGGGAGCACTCGATAGAGAGTGGAGTAACCTCCTTTCCCAGGACCACATAGCTGAGAGTCAAATCCAGAGTTTAAACATTGAGATCCGAGGCTTTTTTGGCTAGATGTGAAGTTGTTTGGCCGAGAAGCGCCCGTGGACCCAGGGAAAGACCTTTGAGATCCACATTGAGGCTTATTTACATTTGGCCTATTCCCGTGCCAATTCATAAAGTGTTCTATGTTAGCTGCCATCATCCAAACTAAACACTGAGCCGAACGACACTCTTCTTTGGGCACTGTTCTCACAATCTGTCTTTGGCCCATCATCTCTTGAAAGGTTCCCTCCTTTTCCTCATTTAGATAAGTCAGATAGGTCTTACTTGCTTAATTCATTAACGAGACCCTTAATTAGTTATAATCACGTCACAAGAAGATTGGATGTAATTAGGAACTGTTAAATGTGCTTAAGTCCCAGTTCCGCTGTACTCCTGACCTTAAGCGAGTTGCTTGACCTCCCTAAGCATGAGTATTCTATGTATAACATGAAAGCTTTGAAACAGGCCATCTTTCAGGCTTATTCGGCTTTAAAATGTGTGTGAATTCCATGACCCACCACTCCCCTTTTCCCACTCTTCATCTTTTAAACCCATTCTCCATCTCCCCAGAAGAAAGGGCATTGAGAGTAGAAGGTGGGCATCCCTTTCACTGAAACAGGCTGGTTTGAAAAAGATGGTAGTCTCTGAGTTGTCTCTTCCCTGGATAAGAAAAACTCCCTCTGAACTACATTTTTCTCCTTGTGATAACAGCAGAAGCCAAGCAGCAACAGCCTTTGGAGAGAGGCTAAGTGTTTCTTGACTTCTGCAGTGACAAAGACCTTGAGAAAATTGGTACTTCTGGCCTACGCTGCCATCGGCCTACCGCCCAGCCCAAGACAGCCCAAGCTGGACATTAGTGCCTCCCTCTTTATTCCTGTGTGATCATCCAGATCAGCACCTGACTGTTTATTTTCAAATCTGACAAACCCAGCCCCTGGGTCTTCATATTCTGGTTGTCAGCTGCTCTTGAAGGTGAATGGAGTCTTGCTTTTTAAAATTATTTTTTTGTGATTTTGTCTATGTGTGAACGCATTTAGGTTCTTGTATGTGTCTCCCATTTGGCTTAGGTAACCAGCAGACAATTCATTCATTCATTCACTCATTGAATAAATACATGTTGAGAGACTGATAGTATAGACAGTGAAAACAATCAAAGCTCTGTCACCATAGAGCTTATGTTCTGGTGGAAGATAAATACAATAAACATACAAGTTGTATGTCACAGCATGGTAAGTGCTGTGGAAAAAAATGAAGTAGGGAAGGTGGTTAGTGCTAGTATTAGTGCGAGTATGTGTGTGTTGGGGTGTTGCTGTTTTATATAGGATGGTCAGGTTGACCTTTGAGCTGCTGAATGAGTGAAGGAGCGAGTCATGTGGATATCTGGGTGAGAAGCATTCTAAGGGGGAACAGCTAGGGGCAAAGGCCCTGTGGTGGGAATATGGTTGAAGAACAGCAAGGAGGCAGTTGTGGAGTCTTGGGTAATCTTCCTGTTCACATTTAGAGTTAACATTCTAGGGAAAGCCCCTGCAAGAGTACAAGTAGCCTCTGAAACCTTCAGGGACCCATCACTCAACTTCATCAATAATCGACATTTTGCCGTATTTAATCTATCTACCCCCTTTTTTGTGTGTGCTGGAGTAGTATTTTAAAGCAGATCTCAGATGTCAGGCAATTTCATCTATAAGAGCTTCAGATGCAATTTCCTTTTGCGTGTTGTTTTTGATGGGCCAGGCAGCACTGTCACCTGGAGGACTGCATGCTGTTTGCCCTGCCTCGTGCCTTCTGTTCCCATCCTGGGTCGGTTACCAGGCTTAAGTTGGTATCCAAGGTACAGACCACAGTCTCTTGGAACACACCAGGATTTGGAGCAGTACTCAAATTTTATGCATCAGAATAACTTGGGGGGCTTGTTGAAACACGAATTACTGGACCTCATCTTTGGAGTTTCTAATTCAGTAGGTCTCAAGAAGGGCCTGAGAATTTACATTTTTAACAAGTTTCCAGTTGATACTGATGCTGCGGGTCCACAGACCCCATCAGAACCACTGATCTAGAACCCTAAGGTTCAGTAGATCCATGTGAGACCAAAAACACCACTGTTTAAGGTTGAAATAGGTTAGACTGAGGTGTGTGCAGAGCCAGGAAGGCCTAGAACCGTGGTTCTTAATTTTGTCTTTGCAGTAGAATCACTTGGAGAACTTTTTACAATTTCGTTAGTTAGGATCCGTGCCCCTGAAATTGAATTAATTGGTTATGGGATGGCGTTGTGGACTGATGTGTGTTAAAGCTCCCCAGGTGATTGCAATGTAAAGCCACTTTTATGACCTACTGATTTAGAGAGCAATAAAAAGCTTTTTTAGCCTGCTCCTAAGGTAGCTTTGCCATCCTCTGCCATTAAAACCTTCATAAATTGACAGATGATATATTTTTTCCTGCTGTATATGGAAGCTTCAGTGGGACTAAAACTTGCTGGTGTAGGGTTGGGGATCTTTAAGATTAGAAGGGAACAGGGAAACTATGTGAAAGGGCTAGGGGTTAGTGTTTTTGTGAGTGTTTTTTTGGGATCAGGATTACATTTTTATTTGAAGAGTAGTTTCCAAGAGGAGTCCAGGGCATTATTTTGGCCCTGACCACTCAGACCATGTCTACCTTAGGATGCTCAGTGTTGAGGACTTTTAAAGTTAGCTATGATTGTCATATAAAGGCGGCTAGTGATAGTGATGTTTAAAAAGAGATAACGACTCAATCTGGAGAAATAACTAGAGGAAGAGAGTCCAAAAAAATCTGATTCTGATGGGGGTTAGTACTGTGAAGAATGTTCAAAAATGAACTGACTAGATAGAATAGCATAAGCATCTGGTCCTGCCGCCATCACTTTTGGCTTCCAGGGTTGATATAGCATTATGAACTAGAGCAGGGACTTGCTCCTGTCCCAGCTCTCTGGCTTAAATGGAACAACAGTGTTTTATGTTTGTATAGTGCTTTCACAGTTCATTATCTTTAAAGAACTATGTGTACAAGTGTATGTGTACATGCATGCAAGTATGTCTCTGTGTGCAAGTGTCTGTACATATGTATAATAAGAGTGTATCCGTAAATGAGTGCCTGCTTATATACCACCCAGCCATTAAGTGATAACGAAACCTATTGTCTACTTTCCACAGGACAGTGACTTGTTACCACTACAACAGCAGAGCCTGCCATCCTCACCAGATCTTCAGTCATCCCCTGACATCACCCCCTCCCCCGTCTCCCTTTGTGGCCTCCTAAATGCCCATCTCACTGGCCTGGGTTCAGCCGGTGGTATGGAGGGGTGCTGCCTAGCACTGACCTGGGAGTGTGTGTGACCCACTGCTCCAATGGTGAGAACAACTGATCCTCCAGGGGGTAGATGGGACGAAGTGCAGGCCTCACATTTCCCTGGTATTTTCCCTCCCACCCTTTTGGAAGGTAGAGTGGCTATTTGAAGTTAAAGGAAGGAGAAGGTTCATGGAAAGAGTATTATTTGCTGTTTGTGTAGGTGGATTTTCTTGGGAAGGAAGGGGTGAATTGAATACTTTAAGGGATAGGAAGGGAGTGATGAGACAAGAGAGCTTAGGTATATGTGGGAGCTGCTGCCTTGGGTAATGATCCTAGAAGAGGCCAGCTTGTACTAGAACCTAGATTTGCCTAGGAATCAACCTTGACATTGAAGTCTGAATCCTTCCTCATTGGCTACGAGAGCCTCAATCATCATACCAAGACTTACGAAGGCCGAAATTCCCTATTGTTTTCCCCTGTTCCACCAAGTCAGAGCTAGGCCATGGATATGACCAGATTCAGGAAGAGACTGAGATACTCCCAAAGGTTGAGGTGAAGGGAGTAAAGGGATTAGGGCTTCAGTTATTCTATCCCAAGGGACCTGCTCCCATTCTTTGTGGGAATGTGTTTCCCATCCTATAACCCCACCCCATTCTGTGGGATAGCAGGGACCCAACAGGGTTATATCCTTATTTCTCATCACTAGGACATCAAAGGCCAGTTCTGGAATGATGATGATTCGGAGGGAGATAATGAATCAGAGGAATTTCTCTATGGAGTTCAGGTGAGGCTATAGCCCCTAAGACCCAAGTTGGATGGTCTTGATGTGTACTTTGGATACATCAGGAGTGAAAGATTATTCTGGAGCAGAGATGAGATGAGGATATAATGTTGGTGTGGTCTGAGCATGGTCTTAGCAGAGCTGATCTCATCTTCTTGCTCTTGCCTGGGACTCATACCTTTCCCAGAGTAAACTATACCCTTTGTATATGGAGGCTACCCATATGTTTTAGTTGGAAATAGTTATTTTCTGACCCTTCCCTCACTAGCCAGTGGGGGTCATTTCATTGATTGGGTCAGATTTTTAAAATATTACCCTGCCAGTCATTGCCTGATATCATCACTACCCAGGGTGTGATCCTCAGCAGGATTGTTGGGCTTTGCAGAAAGAACCAGCTTGAGTTAAATTCTCTTCCGCCTGTTCTGATTGTCATAGAAGGGATACGTAAGGATCCTAGTCACAGTCTGAGAGGAAAAGCAGGAGACTTAAGGATGTGAACTCCTCAAAGCCTGCGGCTAGTCTGCCAAAACTTCTTAAGAAAGGTGTTGAAGGAAGACCTGTGTGTCAGTAAAATCCCCAGCTAGGGCCACCACCAAGAACCCCTTCATATAAGTGGGTTTGAGCTTGTATGTGCTGCTGTTGTTTGATTTCCCTGTTCCTGGTTTTTCTTCATGTTCTTTTTATGTTCTTCATGTTCTCATCTCTCTCTTTCCCCCATCCCTCCCCCCACCGTCACACCATTTTTGCTGCTGACTCAGGGGAGCTGTGCAGCTGACCTGTATCGACACCCACAGCTTGATGCAGACATTGAAGCCGTGAAGGAGATCTACAGTGAGAACTCTGTGTCCATCAGGTGGGACTCCACTTCAGGAATGGCAGGGCAGCAAGCCGTTTCTTTGAGTTGTTAAAAGGCTAGAGGTTTTTTCTTCATTTATGGTGTGATAGGGGTTCTGTGGACATTGATAAATTATGAGCTTAATGATAGTGGGAGTTGCTCAGAATACTTAAGCTTGCCGACAGGAATAAGTAGGAAAGTATAGCCACTTTTCTGAGAAGTTCCCGCTTATACACTTAGACCCTAGAAGGGTCTGAGAAGACCCTTCTAGGCTGATAGTTTCACCTTTGAGGTAAGATGGGCTTGTGGCTTGGAGAAGGCCCTAGTCATACTAAGTGGCTTGAAGCTGTAGCTAATAGCCTAGATACAGAGCTACCTTCCACCCTTTCCTCTGCCCTGTCCCCAGGCTCAGTTCTCCTTCTATCTGAGTCTCTGTTCCCGTCTTTGTCCCTTAATGAGTCTCACCTGTGGTCGCCTGTATCTCTGTAGAGAATATGGAACTATCGATGACGTGGACATTGACCTCCACATCAACATCAGCTTCCTCGATGTAAGTGGTGCTAGTATCTGCTAACAACATGTCTAGCTGGACTTGTGGATTTTGTCATGTAGGCCAGGAGTCTTACTCCTGAGTGCCGTATTTGGAGCACATGTTCTTCATCCCTGTCTTTCCTAGATCATCAGCAGACGGTGGTGTGTACTGTCCATGTGCATGTGTATGTCATACAGGGAAAACTTTAAGTCTATTACTCTCTATTGCTAAACTGGAAATTATCTTCTTTACTTTTTTAGGAGGAAGTCTCTACAGCCTGGAAGGTCCTCCGGACAGAACCTATTGTGTTGAGGCTGCGATTTTCTCTCTCCCAGTACCTTGATGGACCAGGTAAAGGCAGTGACTTTGGGCAAGTGGGTGCTCTGAGTGTGGTCTAATCCAAACTCCTAAGTTAACTGAGACAGAGAAAAACTAGGAACAAGGCCCCTGGGTGAAATCTGCAGATAGGGGCTGTTCAGTCTCCTGTCATTGGTGTCTTCATTCCCTGTCACCTGATAGCCATCCCCTGAAAGTCTTCTTGGTTAGTGAAATCATTTTGTCTGGTTCCCAAATACCATTTTTTCCTCTCCTTCCCCTCAGCTTCCTACTGAGGATATTTGAAATTGACCAGACAGCTCCCAGAATCTACCCCCTGTCTCAGATGTTTTCCTCCTCCACAATTATTGTTTAGAGTACATTAGAACTGAGGAAGCTAATTCCCTGAACTGTGCCTTTGGACTCCCAGGAAGATAGAGAAATATATATACTAGAAGCTTTCTCTTCTCTTTACAGAACCGTCAATTGAGGTTTTCCAGCCATCGAATAAGGAAGGGTTTGGGCTGGGTCTTCAGTTGAAAAAGTAAGAACTTTGATCTTTCTGGTCTTGGACATAGGAGGGAAAGAGACATGTTTGTATGTGAATGGACAGGCAGACCCTTGCATGGAATGTTTCCTTCCAAAAATGTCTTTCTGAAATATGCCCAAGAAAGACTAAAATAAATTGGGGGAGTCAAATTTATGGTTAGATGGGGGAGACTGTGGTTTGGGGGTATCTGGCCTTGAGACTTCCTGGAAGTAACATGAGAAGCTCATCAGTATTTAGCATTTAAGGAAAAGTACAGCCTTGGACTTAGAGCCATGTTCTTCCCATTTCCTTTTGTGTTTTTTTCAGAGTGGGGCTCTAGCAGCTCAGACAGTTTTAGTTTGTTGAATGTGTTGAGCACCTTGCTAAGTATTTGGTATACAAAGAGAAATGAATTACAGATTCTACCCTGAGAAGTTCCAAATAGAATCCAGTGGATACATACTGTAACAGAAGTGAATATGTAAGATTTAGAAAGGACACAGGAAGCAGTGACTCAGTCTAGGGGCAGATGGAAGGCTATGAATGAAAGAATGAAAGGGAGATGATTAATAGTTTTCAAGGATGGATAAGAGTTGCCTATGTAGACAGATTCTGAGAGTAACATTTGCAAGGGCACAGCCGTGTGAAGCAGCATGTGTGTAGGAAGCTTCAAATAGTTAAATCTTGCTAGTAAAAGGCAAGGGGAGAGTGGTGGGAACTGAAACCAGAGAAGTAGGAAGAAGTCTAAATCAGGGAGGATCTTGGGCTTTTGTCTTGTAGACATTGGGAGCAGTGAAGGGTTTTAGGCAAAGAAAGAACATGGTCAGATTTAGTTTTAGAAAAGCCATTCTGGTAGCATTGTGAAAAATAGGTAGAAGGCGGTGAGACGAGAGACCAGAACTAGTTGTAGGAGGCTTTTGTAGAAGTCCTGACATGAGATGATGAAGGCCTGAACCAATGTATGACTGTGGGTAAGAATAGAGATGAGAGATAGATGAGAGAGAAGGGCTGGCCTGGTGGCGCAGAGGTTAAGTGCACACGTTCTGCTTCGGTGGTCCGGGGTTTGCTGGTTCGGATCCTGGGTGTGGACATGGCACTGCTTGGCAAGCCATGCTGTGGTAGGCGTCCCACATACAAAGTAGAGGAGGGTGGGCATGGATGTGAGCTCAGGGCTAATCTTCCTCGAAAAACAAAAAAAGACTTGAAGACTGATTTGGATATATTGTATGTGGTCATAAGAGCCAAGGAATAGTAGAAAATTACTCCTAGGTTTCCAGCTTAGATGTCTGGGTAAATTGTAATACCACCAATTTAGGGATTTAAGAAGAGGAGCAGGTTTGTGGGATGAGGGTAGGTAATTAGTTCCATTTTAAACATGTTATTTAAAGGTAACTTTGGGATATTCACGTGGAGATGCTTAATTGATTGTTAGATATGTAGATTTGGTATTTACAGGAGAAGTTGAGGTTGAAGATACATATCAGCGTATGGGTAGAAATTACAAACAGCATAGAATATGATATGAGATTGTTAAGGGAGAGCATGATAGAGCGAGAAGAAAATAGGAACAGCAGCAAAACACCTTTTAACACCCAGACAAAATACCCAACAAACAGCAGGGTAGGCAGAAGAAGAAACACTGAAGATAGGTCAGAGAAGCTGGAGAAGAATGGGAAGAGCATGGTGTCACAGAAGGCCAGGAGGAGAGTTTCTTCAGGGAAGGCAAGAGCCAGAGTGGATACGTAAGAGGAGATCGTGGGAGTTTCTGTTGGATTTAGCATCAAGGTGAGACCAATTTTAGCAGAGCGGTGAAAGTAGAAACCAGAATACTGTAAGTTGAGAAGTGAGTGGTTGGCAGTGAAGTAGAAACAGTAAGTATGGATTGAGAAATTTGGATGAGGATGGGAGGGAAAGACAGAGATAGTTAGACTGAGGTGCAGAAACTTCAAACTTTCTATAGACTTTGGGAAAGGAGCTGACAGGAGAGGGAGGTAATTGATAGATCAAGCTCCCTAAAGAGGAGGGAAGGTGCTGAGATCTAGATTACAAATAGAGGAATTGGTCCTTAATAGGAGGGTCATCTTGTCTCCAGAGAATGGAGGGATTGAGGTAAGGGTGGAAGTGGAAATAGATTTTGTAGTAGGGTTGGAAAATGAAAGGAGCTGATATCTGATGGCTTCAGTTTTCTCTTGAGGAGGAGGAGAGGTTAGTGGTTGTAGGTGAAGGTAGACTCTTAAAGAAGGTGATAAGGATTTGGCATAATAGCTTAGAGTAATGCTAGAGAGAACTGATCAAGGACAAGTGAAAAGATTAGAAGAGTAGCTGATGGCCCAGCTCAAGTTGAAAACCATAAATTTGGGGATGTAATTTTTCACCTAACAATGTTAGTACCCCTCATGTTCCTAGTGCTTTTCTTCACTGTTCACAAGGCAGAGGGTGATACTTACCTCCATCCCACTCTCGGTGTAGTCATTCTTGGCAGTAAATTCCAAGGTTCATACCCTTTGAAGGCTTGCTCACCTTTGAGGTTTCCCTCTAAAGGCAAAGCATCTCAGAATTTTTCTGGTCCTTTAGACTAGGTAATGGGAGTGAGTATTTACCCGCTAGGGTAAATAGGTGCTTTAGGACAGTACATTTCTGTGTGTTAACGTCATATCAGGGGAGTCTTCCAACACACATTCCCCCACCACGACTGGCTTTGTAGTCCCTTGGGTCTGAATTTTGGATTAGTTGCCTTTCATAGTCCTCTATTTCATGACCTATTACCCTGCCTGAGCTTTCTTAAGCCTGTTCTCTTTGAATTCTTAGGATCCTGGGTATGTTCACATCCCAACAATGGAAACATCTCAGCAACGATTTCTTGAAGACCCAGCAGGAGAAGAGGCACAGTTGGTTCAAGGCAAGTGGTACCATCAAGAAGTTCCGAGCTGGCCTCAGCATCTTCTCACCCATCCCCAAGTAAGTGCTCCCCCAGGACCTGATCATCTCTGATCATGTTAATCTTGTCTTAGCACCCACCCCACCTTCTAGATTACCCAAACTTAGCTAGTCTGTCCTCTCCCTAGGTCCTCTGAATTCTGTTGCTTTACTAATACTACCTACGTGGTCTTATCCCTTATATATCCTTTTCTTTGTATTCCTAACCCATTGTTCGTCCTTTATGTAGAACACAATAGCTCACTTCATCCATCCTGGCCCAGGACCCACTTGTTTCCAGTCCTCTTCTATGATTCCTACTGAATCCCCACTTTCTTCACTTCTGTTTGCTGTCCCTTCAGGTCTCCCAGTTTCCCTATCATACAGGACTCCATGCTGAAAGGCAAACTGGGTGTACCAGAGCTTCGGGTTGGGCGCCTCATGAACCGTTCCATCTCCTGCACCATGAAGAACCCCAAAGTCGAAGTGTTTGGCTACCCTCCCAGCCCCCAGGCAGGTCTCCTGTGCCCCCAGCACGTGGGCCTCCCTCCCCCAGCACGGACCTCTCCTTTGGTACATGGGCTGGGGAGAGTTTGACTTGGGTGTCAGGAGGGTGGGAGTGGAAATGTGGGAGTATAGCTTCTCAAAATGGGGTAGAAGTATGGTTGTCCAGGCATCATAAATCACACTTGGACATGTAACCTGAGTGGGTGGAATGGAACTGAATTTTTAATAGCTGAAAGCTTACATCTAAACTATCTGGCAAACTTTTCTGACAGTAGGCCATGGAGCAGAGAGTCTGGGGTGGGGCATCCCAAGGAGATGTCATGTATGATTTTATTAGGTTGTGGTTAGGATTTGGTAGTCAGCTGCTGTGCTAACCTATTCCACCTACCTTGAAGAGGGTTAAGGACAGGTGAGCTTTTTTTGAGAACTTTTAGCAAAGATAGCTGAAGGTGTTCTGTCCAACTTTGGCATTACTTAAGCTGGTCGGAGCTAGGGCTTAGCTATTTTGGGAGAATACTAGGTGATGGGCATGAGCGACGTCTGTTGAGGCACCAGCTTCATAGGAGGCTCATAGGGTCCATCTTTTCACTCTCATCAGGTCAGTGGTCACTGCAAGAACATCCCCACTCTGGAATATGGATTCCTTGTCCAGGTAATCAAGTCTAAAGCCTTTCCCCTCTTGTCTGACCCGTCTGATCCGCTAACATCTCCCAGCTCCTCAGCCAGTTAACAGATGTTTGCTGAGTTAGTCTACTCCCAGAACTATACTATGTGTTGTGTGGATAGAAGTAAAGAAGGCATAGTTTCCATCCTCAAGAAGATTACAGTATTTTTGGGAAGACAACACTTACAGACAACTTAAAATCAAGTGCCAAAGCAAGAGGCACTGCAAATTTTAAGTGCATAGATATCAAGATGAGACAGGGATTAATGCTAGTTTCCTTATGATCCCCAACGTCCTTGCTCAAATGGTCTTCTGTTTTCCCCACAGACCTCTGTCGCTGCTCAGCCACTACGGGTCATTTGCTCCTTTTAAAATCTCCTTATTTCCTGGACACGCTTTCACATTGCATCTCTGTTACCTTTGTTCATGTCGTTCCTCCACTGGCCTTTCTCCTCGTATCTGCCCATTGCGCTTGAGGCTCAGATGCCACCTTTTCCATAACATCTTCTCCATTATCCCAGCTGTATTAGCTGGAGGAGATGTCTCTTCTCACTGAACTCTTATGATGCTTTTTGTTTTATAGGACACCTGTGTTCACATAGCATATGCCTTGAATTGTAATTAATTTGCATGCCACATCTCCCCTGTTGGAATATAGGGTCTGAGTGAGAAGAAAATCTTTTATATTATTGCATAATCGAGGAGACCTTTCCCTGAGCTGGGTACATATAGACATTTAATAAATCTGTATTAAATGAATGAATAAAAGCCCTTGCATGTCCCTTTACCAGCCCAAAGGTATATGAAATGGGAGCAACTTGATTTATATACAAAATGTGGCTGATTGAAAAAGCTGTATTAAGACAATGTTTAAAAAAGTACTTGAGGAGGGGCCGGCCCAGTGGTGCAGCGGTTAAGTTCGCACGTTCCGCTTCTCAGTGGCCCGGGTTTGCCAGTTTGGATCCTGGGTGCGGACATGGCACCGCTTGGCATGCCATGCTGTGGTAGGCGTCCCACGTATAAAGTAGAGGAAGGTGGGCACTATGTTAGCTCAGGGCCAGGCTTCCGCGGCAAAAAAAAAGAGGACGACTGGCAGTAGTTAGCTCAGGGCTAATCTTCCTCAAGAAAAAAATACTTGAGGATATTGCTGCATGAGCTCTGGATTTGTGCTGTCTTCCCAGGACATAGTTGTATCTATGGTTTTGACTAGTGGACAGGCTGATTGTTTTAGATAGTTGAAATGGCTTCTTAGGTGCCCTCTGATCATAGACTGAATACCCAGAGGGACAATCTATAGTTACTACAACTAGTGTTAATAGTTTGATTAGTACCCATTTATAAAATACTTTCACAGAAATCATCTCAATACCTCTGAGGTGAATAATGTTCCACTTTCTAAATGAAGAAACCAAGGCTCAGGTTTACCGACTTGCCCAAAATTATATTTGGTATTAAGTAGTAGGCAGGGACTCTTAACCTGGCTCTTCTACCATGTCTGGTCTCATCTTTACTATAATATATGGTCTTAGCTCTAGACCTAGGCCATCAGTTTACCTAAAGTGCAGGGCCCAGGAGTAGATTCTACCTTAGGCACAGGAGGGAGAAGGAGAGTAGCCAGAAAAGAAGGTAAAATTCTTTCCCAGATCTGTGCCTGTACTTCCAAAAGACTTAGTAGAATCTCCTCTCTCCCCAGATCATGAAGTATGCAGAGCAGAGGATTCCTACGTTGAACGAGTACTGTGTGGTGTGTGATGAGCAGCATGTCTTCCAGAATGGGTCCATGCTCAAGGTGCGTGCCCCTCTTCTGTGACCCTCTTCCTTGGACCCTTAGCCAAGGCCCCTTCACTCCTTACCTCTTCTGTATTCCTTTCTTCCTGGGTCTGTGGTAAAGGTAGAATTCTGTCTACACTCCCTGAGACTCTAGAAATGTTTTTCTTTGAAAACAAATCTCAGCAGTCCTGTTTGGAAATATGAGGATATGTGACTATTTTTGAGGAGATAATCCCCACCCAACATTTAAAAATAGGGATCAGATACTGATCAAGATGATTGGATATGATGCTGTCCTCAAGGATCCAAGTCTAGGTGAGTAGACAGACACTTCATTGTAAGTGTGTAGAAGAAATATGAGCAGTGTTGTGGAAACTCAGAAGAGAGAGCATCTAATATCTAGGGAGGCCATGGAAGGCTTCATGGAAGACATAACATTAACTCTCAAACTATCAGTAAGGCAATGTAATTAAGACTTCGCTTACTTATAATTTTCTCATGACGTAGAGGGTCCCAGATCCCTACTTCATTCTAGAATTGTCTGAGGTTGCGATTGTCTCTCTCTCCCTACAACACCTTCTTACTGCACACTCGCTACCACCACCATCTGTTTAATATGTCCATTCAGCCAGCTGTCTGTACTCGTGAACTGTGCGTTTTCTCCTTCTACACACTGGGAGTCATGTCCGGAGCTGCAGAGGAAGTGGCCACTGGAGCAGAGGTATGGGAGAGGGAAAGCTGCTGGGGAATTGGGATCAAGAAAGTGTGGGGAACCCAGCAATGTCACTTCTTAGAATTTAACCTCCAGAAGTGCTTTCACACGTAAGGGAGTTCACTACAGTATTGTTTGTAATAGGAAAAAAATAAAAAGGGTACAGCTCCATCTGTAGGGAATCTAGTTAAATTAAGGTATGTCCTTACAGTGGAAATACTATACAGCTACTATTTATGGGTAGAAAATTATAACATAGAAAATAGAACAGTGTGTATAGTACAATTCTTTTTTTTTAATTGCCTGTATAATAAGATAACTATTTCCATAGGAAAAATATCTGAAAGGATATAAATCAGACTTAGCAATAGTTACCTGTGAGGAGTGAGATTCATTTGTGGGCAAGGGGGTGATTTTCATCTTTTCTTTAATCACTTTTTTAATCATTGTTACTTGAATTTTTATAATGTGCTTATATTTTCTAACAAAAAGGCCATGAACATGTTCGCTTTTTAAAAGAACATCAGAGAAATGCTGAGACTTCAGCAGGTGGACCCCTGCTTGATACGGTGTGACTCTCAGCACTGGGGAATCACTTAGTCTCTTCTCCCTGTCTCTCCCTTCCGCTAAGGTGGTGGATCTGCTGGTGGCCATGTGTAGGGCAGCTTTGGAATCCCCTAGAAAGAGCATCATCTTTGAGCCTTATCCCTCTGTGGTGGACCCCACTGATCCCAAGACTCTGGCCTTTAACCCTAAGGTATAGTTGCTTGGGAAGAAAGTCAGGGCTAAGAAACAGAAATCGTAAAAGATGGTGGGAGATTATGGGCCATCGTTCTGGTGTACACAATTTGGAATAAGAGAGAGAAAAAATGGAACACTTGTTTCTTGGGAACTCTTGAACCCTAAGCTTTAGCTGTTTTAGTGAATAAATAACTGAGTTTGTTAGAAGAAAGGGAGAATTAAATATTATATGTCATGATAGAGAAGAATAGAGGCTTTGGAGCCAGACAGACCTGAATTCCATTTGAGGTTTGGCTGCTCTCTAGCTGCATAGTTAGGCAAATCACTTAATCTTTCTAAACCTCAATTTTCTTATCTGTAAAAAGGGCATACCTTGCAGATTGTTATAAAAATGAGAGATAACAAATGTAAAGTATTAGTTAGTCAGGATTCTCCAGAGAAACAGAACCAATAGGAGATAAATATATATAGGAAGAGATTTATTGTAAGGAATTGGCTCATGTCATTATGAAGGCTGAGAAGTACCAGGATCGGCAGTCAGCAAGCTGGAGACCCAGGAAAGCTGATGGTGTAAGTCCCAATCCAAAAGCTGATAGGCTTGAGATCCAAGAAGAACTGACTTTTCAGTTCAGTCCGAAGGAGGAAAAGACTGATGTCCCAGCTCTAGGCCATCAGGCAGGAGGGCATCCCTCTTACTTGGCCTTTTCGCTCTATTCAGGCCTTCAGCTGATTGGATAAGGCCCATAGGAATTGGGGAGGGCAATCTGCTTTACTCAGTCTACTGATTCAAAGGTTAATCACCCTCAGAGAGACACTCAGAATAATGTGTGGCCAAATGTTTGGGCACTCCATGGCCCAGTCAAATTGATCCGATTAACAATTGACAAAATTAATCATCATAAGTACCAGCACAGTGTCTCACAATTACTGTCAGTGCTGTGTATCAGGTACTGTATCAGGTTCTTGACATGTTGTTTAATCCTCAGAACATCTCTATGAAGGTAGTGGGAATATTTATCTTCCTTTACACAAGAATACTGAGGTTTTAAGAGGTTAAGTAACTTATGCTATTAACTCCAAGCTGGTAAAAGAGAACTAGCTTGTCATTCTATAACTATCTGACATTAAATCTGTGTTCTTTCTATGACATACTACATTGTTTCTCTGGGGCCTAGACTTCTTTTGTGTATCTGACCCTCCTTTTTGTCATGTCTTACTCTCCTCCACTTTTGTTCATCTGGTTCTTCTCTTCCCATTGATTCCCCACAGAAGAAGAATTATGAGCGACTTCAGAAAGCTCTGGATAGTGTGATGTCCATCCGGGAAATGACCCAGGTATTCTGTCCTCTGCCTGTCCTCTGCCCTCTATGTTGCCCCACTCAAGTGCCCTATTCTGCTTGGAAGTCATGGGAACTTAGAGATTTAGAGATGCTACTTAATTCCTCACTGTGTTGTGTTTAGTCTTCCCTCTTTAGCCTTCCCAATCCTTGTTCTCTGTTTTGTTACTCCTCTTTCTCTCTCCTAATGTCTCTCTCAACCTTTTCCTTTGCTGCTAATTCCTTCACAAGTTGTTCATATTTAATGTTTTTCCCGTAATTCTTAGGGAATTAGAGAAGTGAGGGAAAGACCTCTGCCCAGGGTTGTGAGGGTGAGGAGGGGGGCTTGGAGGTAAGGAACTAGACCCAGGGGCCTACGTCTTCTATCCTTCTAGGGGTGGGGCAGCCACATGGAGCAGTGACCATCCTTTGAATCAAGGCTGTCCCTCACCAGACTTCCCCACCCCTCGTCTGCAATCTCTGCATGAATAGACATTCATTTGTACTCACATTTACAGGTGGGCCTCTTCTCAGCAAATCCTATATATCACAGTTCAGATTAACACATAAGTGACACCTAGCAGGGATAATTTACTTGTCAAAGGACTCTTTGCTTTTTGTAAAGTTTTACCACAGGATTCCTTAGCCTAAATCTTTCTGGGACATTGATTTTATTTATTTTTTGATTTATAATCAACCTTTTAGGGCTGTAGGAATTGCATAAAATGAGGGAGACCCACCTGCATGTTGTTTTGTAAGCATCTTTGGTCATTTTCATATTTATTTATAGTCTTCCCAACCTGACTGGGCTCCTTAAGGGTGGGAACCCCATCTCCTCTTGCCTTTGTATGGCCTTCAGTGCCTACCTTGCCCTGGGCCCTGATAGTCTGTGGAAAGTGGGAGGGTTCCCACCTCTCCCGGTAGATAACTTTAGGGCCGTTGTCTTACAGGGCTCATATCTGGAAATCAAGAAGCAGATGGACAAGCTGGATCCCCTGGCCCATCCTCTCCTGCAGTGGTATGGATAGAATGATGCATCCTTCCCAGGGCGGGTGGGGAGGGAGGCACAGTGTTAGACATGGAGCCTGCACCTTTTCTTAGAGGCAGTTTCAGCATCCTTAATGAGGTTATAGATGTGGCTGCTTTTTCTTGGGGTTTTGTTAATACACCTGGCCTTGATAAGAACTCAGATCCTACAAAGAGCCCACAAATTCTAACATGATGTCTCAAGTTCTCTCTACATGTTTCATGTTTCCCAATAGGTTTTTGAATGCCCCTTGCATGTAAGAATTAACACTGTTCATTTCAACTGGGTTTTCTACGTACCCAGAGGTCTGTCTCCCGCTTAGACTCCCTTTCCCTGTCTCAGTGCCTTTCCTGTTGATACAGACTCTCCAGAGCCTTGAGACATTATTGTTATTCCCTTCTCCTAGCAAAGACTCTGACCGTCCGCTGCTGCCCTCCCTGCTGATGTTGATTTCTGTTCTGTTTTCCTGACATAGCTTTCCCCTTCTAGCTTGTTGCCCTCTTCCTCATCAGCCTTTGACATCAGTACTTTATCAGTGCAGCATTCTCCCTCTTAGCATGAGGAATGACCAAGTATAGACCATCCAGGGTACACGTACCATCATAGGTACATGGATGAAGCACAAAAAGTAAACTTTATCCACTCTAGGAGATAATGCTGCCTCGCTGAACCCTCCATGTTTTATGCCTTTATTCTCTCCTGTCTTCTGAGTTCAGGCTCTGTACAGCCCAGTCTGTCCCTGAATCCTCAGAAAGTTTGTTCTAGTTTCTTCTGTTTCCTTCTCCAGCCCAAACAGTAACTTTCTCTCCATTCCTCCCCATCCCTGAGAGAGCCCTCAGGCTTCCTCTCAACTCAGGTGGGATGGCTCCTGAGCCTCAGTTCTAAGTTTCTAAATCCCAGGTATAAGTTATCACCGTCCTAATACAGACCCCTCCTTTCTAATTTCTTTTGTTTTGTAACTGACCTCTTGTGCTCTTCTTTTATATTATCCTTTTCTCTCCCTAGATATAGCAGCCCACCTCCCATCCTTCTCTTTCATCCACTATTTACAAACCTAGTACTTAGCTCTTTGGTCAGTAGCTTCCCTTTTACATTTTTATACACAGGCATTACCCTCCCCAGGAATATCCAGACAGTGACCTGGACACTTCACACAATTCAGACAGCCCTGGAATCCTTGTTTGTTCTTCCAGGGGCAGAGCAGGGTTGCTGCTTTATTCAGGATGGCCTAACCACGTACTTGTTCTATCCTTTTCCTTTTTTCTCTGTTTCATCCTAGGATCATCTCTAGCAACAGGTCACATATTGTCAAACTACCTCTCAGCAGGGTAAGTGACCATTCTCCCCCAACTCTTTAAATTTCTAGTGAGGGGCAGGGAGGGGCTCCAAATCAGCTAACCTCATTGGTTTTAGACCTGTCTGGTGGGCTCTTTCCATCAACAGTAGTCTTTGGGCCTAAGCATATTTCCCTTCTTTAGGGTCATTGCAAGCCTGATTTGCTCCCTATCCCCAGCCCTTCCCTCCCTGATCTCCATTTCTGCTCTGTTTTCCTGACCCCACCCCACCCTGGGCAGCAGCTGAAGTTCATGCACACCTCACACCAGTTCCTCCTGCTGAGCAGCCCTCCTGCCAAGGAGGCTCGGTTCCGGACCGCCAAGAAGCTTTACGGCAGCACCTTTGCCTTCCAGTGAGGGGGTGGAGCCTGGGGAGGAGGGCAACGAATAATGTAGGGGGGTGGGAGGGCAAGTTCCCTTGAGGTGTATGAGTTTGTGTTACCTATGTCTGTCACCCAGTCAGTCAACAGATATTTACTAAATGCTATTGTGATAGGTGCTGTAGAGAATAAAAAGACACATGTGATATGGTCTTAACTCTCAAACTTGTTATGATGTAGTTGAGGAGAAATGATATTTACATGTAAAAAGATGTGATTGAAGGAACAGATTGGAGGGGATAGGTTTGAAAGCTACTTTGAAGGAAATCAGCAATCTATGCCTAATGGTGGGAGGGAAGAGAGAGAGAGATTAAAGGCAACTTAAAGGGAGTAGTGGTACCCTTTTCTTAAAATAGACGTTAAGTCAGGATTGGAAGCCATATTTGGGATCAATGATAAGTTTGTTGAGTTTGAGATGAAGTTGTTTAATTTGAAATATCAGGAGAATAAGCACATGAAAATACTGAACCAGCAGTTGAGGGTTTAGGATGGGATTAGCTGAAACGCAGAACAGAGGATGGGACTGGAAGTCAAGATGCAGGCATCTTGCATGCCTGTGACTGTATCCACGTGCATGTCCATCACTGGGTGTATCTGTGTCCGTCTTCATGGCCCGTGTGAGTGAGAATGGGTGGGAGTGGCAGTCTTGGAAATACTCCTGGGAACCTCATACAATGAGGAGACATGTATACTACCCTGCCTTACAGTGGGTCCCACATTGAGAACTGGCATTCGATCCTTCGCAATGGGCTGGTCAATGCATCCTACACCAAACTGCAGGTGAGGCTGTGTCCCTTTCTCTTTCTCTCAACCTCCCTCCCTGCCCCACTGAAGTTTTGAAAGGCAGCTCTAGAGTACTCAGCTGTTTTTGCCTCAGCATCCTCAAACCTAGCCTGCCGTGGGGCTTCCCTAGAGAGGAAGTTGGAATTGCGTGTATAGAGTAAATGTCGCTGTTGTATATTTGACCCCAGGCTGGGTTTTTTGGTGATTTTGGAAATGAGAATGTAGCTATAGGCAGGAATATGAATTGCTGATTGCAGCCACTGTGATGAATTAACCTATTAGAGCTTTTCAATTTATGTGTCTATTTTATTCAGAGAGTTTATATAGGAGACTTATTTCTTTGCCCTCTGAGACTCCAAGGAATGGTTATTGTCCTTCTTCCTGGCTATCTATTCTGTACTGCCCTTTTGTGGAATCTGCATATATCCCAAGGCCCGGGGACAGGAGCATGGATTCTGAGGGACTGACTCAGTGGCTCTGCCACTCTTACTCTCCAAGGCATCAGTATCTAGTATTTCATAGGCAAAGGGGTTAACCTGCATCCACTTTTCAGCCAATCAGCTTTTTAAGAGTAGGTCCCTAGAGTTATCTGAATGAATGAGAGGGTAAATGGAGAGACAGAGGGCTGGATAAGCCTTGTGGCTGCGTAATATGCACCGATGGGAGGGCCCAGGCTCATATTGCTCATCCTGGTGTTTCCCTGCAAGCTGCATGGAGCAGCCTATGGCAAAGGCATCTACCTGAGCCCCATCTCCAGTATTTCCTTTGGATACTCAGGTAAGAAATACTCTCTGGCCACTTTGACTCTATTTACATTGCATCCGTTTTGTGACTATGTGATCTATGCTGTCTCCTCCTCCATCATAGATACTTGGTCTATGTCAGCTCTCTCCCCAATCATGGATACATAGTCTGTCTCTCTCCGCTTTCTCTCATTAGGAATTTAGATTCTTTACAAGATGAGGCCAGTTATCTCCCTTTCTTTTAGGTAGTCCTCTTCTCCATGGGGATTGTTTTATTCATTGTAAGGGCTTGTCTCTGGAAATGGGTTAGGGAATAACTGGGAGATGAAACAAGGCTTTTTTTAGACTACATTTTTGATGTTGGCAATAGCCTGTCATCATAGATTGTGTGTGTGCACATGTGCATCTGAGTTTATATGTAAATACACTTGAAGGCTTGAGTCCTTTCCACTGGCTTACATTTCGGGAGACATTGCTCTTCTCCCTGTGAACCACCTTTAAAATTTAAACTGTCTATAATTACACAGTGTTATATTAGGCACATTAAATGCAAGAGAAAACATTTTATTCCGAAGATAAGTCATGAATGAGGTCCAGATTCTAGTCAGGAGGTGAGTCCAGCTTTGTCCAGCTCAGAAAACGAATCTGGCCTAGAGCTCTCTCAGTGTTCCAGGTTCATGTCTTAGTTGCTTTCCAGTCTTTTGTTCTTGTTCTATGTAGTCTCTGTGAAGGATAGCCACATGTAGTTGCCTGTCTGTGAAGGGGACAGTGCTAGATTCTTTACAGACTACTTGGTATTCTTGAGCAATTGTAAATGTCATAAAGGTAAGGAAACCTGGGTCCAGCGTCACAGAGCTAGAACAGTCCCCAACAACAAAGTAAACCAGACAAAGTGGAAGAAAGCAGATAACACAGGTGAGCACCTAAGTAGTGGAATAAAGACAGTTACAATAGATAGAGCCAAAAAAGCCAAAAGATGATTCTTGTAAAGAACTGACAAGACAGATAACCCTAGTTGGATTGATCAAGAAGGAAAAGAACACAATTAAATAACAATATGAGTGAAAAATGGAACATAACTACAGATATAGCAAAATTTTAAAAGGTAATGGGAGAATTTTGTCAACTTTATGCCAGTAATTTGAAAACTTTGACAAAAGGTTTAAATTCCTAGAAAACTTAACACAATCAATTCAAGAAGAAATAGAAAGCTTGAATAGCCCTAAAACTAGAAAAGACATTGAAATAGTAGTTTAAAATTTTCCACAAAAAAGAAAACAAACTAAAACCCCACCAAGCCCAGCTAGTTTTACAGTGAGTATTAAATCAAACTTTCAAGGAACAAATTATTCCAATCTTACACAAAATTATCCAGAGAATAGAAAAAGATGGAATTACAAGTCATGAAAGATTGGTAAATTTGACTATATTAAAGCTAAAAACTTCTTTTCATCAGAAGACACTTTAAGAAAATGAAAAAAGAAAGATAAGCTACAAACTGGGGGAAGACATCTGCAACATATATAACCACAAAAGATCAGTAATAAAAATGTATTTTAAAAATTCTTACATATTAAGAGGAAAAAGACAAACCAAATAAGCAAAAGCTTATTATAAAATAATATTATGAAATTATGAAAATAAGCAAGTGACATGACTGGGCATTTCACTGGAAACGATCAAAAAATATGAAAAGCTGCTCAACCCCTATTAATCAAGGCAGTGAAATCAAGACCAAAATGACTTACCATTTAGCACTCATGTGGATTGGCAAAAATTAAGAAATCTGATAATACCTCTGATCGTATCAGAGGTTGTAGATCAGCAGGATCTCTTTTATTGCTTATAGGGATATAAATTGGTACAACTACTTTGGAAAACAATTTTTGGTGTTAAATTCCATAAAGCTGAGAAATTTTATCACTGTGACTCAGTATTTTCATTCCTACATGTGTGCACCCAGAGACGTGTACACGAATGTTCAAAGCAATGCTGTTTGCAACAGCAAATCTTGGAGACGACCCAAATGCACATCATCGAGAGAATGAGTAAATGTATTTTAATATATTCTCACAATGGGGGCCAGCCAGTGGCGCAGCGGTTAAACGCGCACGTTCCCCTTTGGCGGCCCGGGGTTTGCCAGTTTGGGTCCCGGGTGCGGACACGGGATTGCTTGGCAAGCCATGTTGTGGTAGGCATCCCACATATAAAGTAAAGGAAGATGTGCATGGATGTTAGCTCAGGGCCAGTCTTCCTCAGCAAAAATAGGAGGATTGTGGCAGCAGTTAGCTCAGGGCTAATGTTCCTCAAAAAAAAAAAAATTAAAAAAAAAAATTCTCACAATGGATTATTATTCGGCAATGAAAATTAATGAAGAGTGGTATTCAACAACATGGAACAATATTAGTAATAAGTTGAGGGAAAAAAGACCCCCTGTATGATGCCTTTTTTCATATTGTTCAAAAGCAAACAAAATTGTTATTTGGGGGGGGGGTATGAGTGTGTTTTATGATAAAACTAAAGCAACAAAAAAAGAAATGACAACCTACATTTCAGGAGAGTGATTACCTCCCAAGGGGAGTAAGATAGTTGGCATAGGTTAGGTGTACATAGCTAAATGTAGGTCACTGGTAATGTTTTAGCTCTTGGATTTAGGTCTTAGGTTGGGTCTGTAGGTATTCATTGTTCTGTTAAATAAATGGTAGTGTCAAAGGTTATATGACTAATCCACACAGGATAAGTGCCCAATAAATATGTATTGCATGTGTGAATGAATCTTATTCTGTGTGCCTGGGGTCCAAAGTGGGGGTTGGATTGGGGTAGTCTTTTTGGCTTCTTTGTCTAGGTTCTTCAGTCTTTATTCCAGCCTGAGCTTCCTTCTAATTAAGCTCTTATTACTTTCTTTTTTTTTTTTCATTTATTTGTTTATTTTTGTATGTACATCATAATGTATTTCAAATTCTGTGTAGATTAACTTATTACTTTCTGAGTAGTAAGATTCTCCTGGCTCTTGGTACCCGCAAGATTCTTTCTTCCTATTTCCTCCCTGCCTCTCCCTGTTGCCTCTCCCACTGGCCTTTGTTTACCACTAAGTGCCTGAATACCTTTAGTTGATGAAGCCAGGAATTTCTTTTAACTTCTTACCTTTCTTCATCACTTGACTGATTACATAAAAACATCATATGACACTATCCTTCTCCCTCTTGAAGAGGTTGATTGATTATAGGTAGAAAATACCATAGGATTTTACTACTGGAGTTATAGATCATCTTGACCAATCCCTTTTACTTTATAGATAAGAAAGATGATACACAAAAAAGTTAAATGACTTTCTCAGAGTCACACAGCTATGAGTAGCAGAGCTAGGACCGGAATCCAGGTCTCCTAACTTCTTGGCCACTGTTGTTATTAGTATATCGCACTGACAGAGTAGGCTTTGCTGGCTGACTGAGTCTCTGAGGGCCCCACAGATATGTGAGAGTCTCTGTAACAGTGGGCAGGATGTGTGCAAATGTCCAACATACTGTAGTTACACTAGCATTTGGCCAGCTCTATCTTTTTGTAGGTTTCTTCCACCCTATTCTGCTCTGGTTTTCTCTGTTCTTCCTATTCTTGGCCTAGTGGCATTGGGTGCCTTCGCTGGGCGGGGGTAAATCGAGAGCACCTGTTTGACTAGTAGACCCTCCAATGACTTGGCCATAGTGTGCAGGTTAAAACGAGAGACAGTGTTAAAGGAGATGGTAAACTCCATCTGTTTGTTTAGCCCTGTTTAGAGACCTCTGATGAGTATATACTCTGAACACAAAGTATCCAAGGATTATTCTAGCCACCATGTTCTCAGGGTCTGGGCTCAGGAAACTGACAGAAAATCGTTGGGTCAGTATGGACAGGACAGTGCAACAGGATTGGGGTGGATCAAGATTTGGGTTAATTCATAAGGGCCATCTCTAAGCTCAGCCAGAAAAATCAGATTGCTCTTGCTCATCTTCTTGGGTAGAACCTTTCATTGAAATACCCAGGCTGAGAAGATCATGAGGTTTGGATAGAGAGCTAAACCTAGTTAAGGCTAAGGGAGAAGGTGAAACAGAGGAGTTGGGTGTCCTTTAGGAGAAGGAAATTGGCAGTTCAAGTCTTGAGGCTTTCGTTGCCCTGAGTTTTGTTCAGATCTGTCATAGGACTTTGGTGTGAGTGCATGATGCATTGACAGCCTCAGCAGTGAAGAGTGTCAGTCCAGTAGTTGTCACCCCCACCTCTACACCATGGCTATCACAAAACCAAGAACTGACGCAGAGTGCAGTTAGTAATAATAGGAAGTTTGGGGTGGAGTGTTGAAATCAGGGCCCTGCTTATGGCCTGTAATGATGGCATCATTTCCCATCTTCATCTCCCTCTTGGTCTCATACACACAGACTTTTATCCCTAACTGTGAAGGGCTGGGCCTATGATAAAGCTGAGTACAGAGACTGCAGTCTTATTCACAAGCCACAAAGAGTTGGGGTAGGGGCACACAAGCACTGTTTCATGCTTAAATAGGGAAAATCCAGAATGAGTCTATTAAATGTTAAAAACAGGGCTATTCACTAAGGGTAAGGATGATGGAGGATTTATGGATTTAAATAGATGGAAATGAGTCTGGGAAGACTTTCTGAAGGAAGCAGTGTATTTCAAGATAGCTCCCTGTGGAAAATTATTCATCACTTAACTGCTGTGCTCTCTCCCTTTTTTCTTGAATGACTCTGGTCAGTTTTTGTGTAACTTTGAGACTAGAGCAGATCTGACTTTCTCTGCTTGCTTCCTCTCCACTCATTTCACTTAGCCTGGCATTTGATCCTAGGTGTTGATGTCACCACACTTCTGGGCCCCTCATTCCTAGCTCATTTCATGTGTTACTACCCTGTCTTAGAACCACATGTTTCCCTGATGTTCTCAGGATAAACTCCAGTTGCCTTAACGTGACCTACAGCGCCTGCATGATCTGATCCCAGCTCACCTGATTCACATCCTCTCTTGCCACTCCTCTGCCATTAACTATGCTCCATACAAACTAACGCACACTGCTTTCTTTCCCCCAGGCCTTCCATATCCTATTACCTCTGCCCAGAACACTTCCCCCCCTTCATATAATAACTCTTCTAATCCTGTAGTTCTCAGCTCAGCTGTCACCAGGAAGCCACCTTTAAACTCCTAGGCTAGGTTAGTTCCCCTGTGCTGCCTCACACACTGCTTTGTATTCTCCCCATCACAACCCCCACCATGCTGTGTTATAAATACTTGTTCCTTGCCTGTAATCTCCACCAGACTAAATTCTGTGAGGGCAAATATCTTGTTTGTTTTATTCACTGCTGTATCGCCAAGTGTCTAGCTCATTGCCTGGCACATAGTAGGCACTCTAGTAAATATTTAATGAAGAAATGGGTGAATGAACTGGGTTTGTTGTTCTGTGACAGGAATGGGAAAAGGACAGCACAGGATGCCCTCCAAGGATGAGCTGGTCCAGAGATATAACAGGATGAATACCATTCCCCAGGTATTAGTTGGCCTTGCTCCAGTGAGGCAGGACCCTTCCCCTGGGATGAGTTTAGGCTTCAGAGATGGATGGGGAAACAGTACGGGGGGAGGTGGGTATTTTAAAGATCATTTGAAGGAATCAGGTATGTTCTTAGATGAACATACTTCCAGAGTCATATATGGCCTCAGTCATAAGTATGGAAGCAGAGACTGAGTGTAAATGTAGTGACATGAAAATGTAAAGATGGAAGCTGTGGACTCATCCAGACTGATTATGGGAAAGCAAAATTTTGGTGGGGGGAGGGTGGCTGGGAGCCGAGGACATCTCTGAGCCCCACTCCCAACCATCACCAGCTAACTAGCTTCTCCAGGGAAAGCTATACCAGTCTACTTGGCTCTGCTCTCCTTCTCTTCCAGACCCGATCCATTCAGTCGAGGTTCCTGCAGAGTCGGAATCTAAACTGTATAGCACTTTGTGAAGGTAGGTAGTTCCCCCAGTCCCTGTTTTTCTGGGTCCCCAACCTTTATTTTTGGTGCAGCTTTGGCGCATGATCTAGCTAAGGGTGACATTGAGTCATCATGTCTTCTCTCCCCTGCCTCGATGCTGTGACTTAAGCATTATATATATAATTTCTGGCCCCCTTCTTCCCAGTGATTACATCTAAGGACCTCCAGAAGCATGGGAACATCTGGGTGTGCCCTGTGTCTGACCATGTCTGCACACGGTTCTTCTTTGTGTAAGTCTAGGAGGGTACCTTGGGCATTGCTCTGAGGAGTGAGGGTGGGGGTGTGATGGTGTGTGACTCCTGGGAAAGTGGGAGTCTGAGACTTGTCCCTGGCTGCCTCATTGGAGCTGGCACTGGGACTTTCCCCTTGGAGGATGGGGATGAGTATAGATCAGGATCCGTTTAGAGGAAATCAAATAAGCTGAATCTCTTCCACCCTAAAAAGTAGCACAAAAGGGTTCTGGGATGGGATGGCTACACCTCCAAATACAGTTCCATTGGTTGACATTATCCTGGTATTGTCTCCCTCTTATGCTCACACTTGCCCTATCTTTGGCAGATATGAGGATGGTCAGGTGGGCGATGCCAACATTAATACTCAGGACCCCAAGATACAGAAGGAAATCATGCGTGTGATCGGAACTCAGGTTTACACAAACTGAGGGGGCCCCAGCCCTCGTACCACCCCTGTTCCCCCAGGATCCATCTGCCCTCATAAAAGGGGTCAGGAGCAGCTGGCGAGGCTGTCCTGAGGAATCAAGGGGCCATTACCAAGGGTCAGGAAAAGGATAGAAGAGGCGGCCTTCATGGTGGAGACTGACCCAGGAACCACTCCACATTTGGATGGCCCAGACTGACTCCCTACTCCTGATTTTCCCAGTTGACTTCACCCTGTTTGTAAATAAAACAATAAAATGGAAGGTGCTGTGGACTGGATATGATCACTGTGGTCTGACTAGCCTTGGCCCAGCACCTACCCCAAGCCCCCACTTGGGGGTAGCGGGGGTGGGGATAATGGATGATCCTGAGGGTTGGGACTATTTATGTTGGATGGAATCAAAGCCAACCAAGTCCATCTAGTGTAGTGTACTACAGATTTGTCAACTTTTTTTTTTTTTTTTTTTTTTTGGTGAGGAAGATTTGCCCTGAGCTACCATCTGTGCCAGTCTTCCTGTGTTTTCTGTGTGGGTCACCACCTCAGCATGGCTGACTAGTTGTGTACATCCACGCCCAGGATCTGAACCCACAAACCTGCAAACCCAGGCCACCAGAAGCAGAGCACATTGAACTTAATCACTACACCACAGTTTTTATCAATGGATTAGATAAAGAAAGGAAATTGATCAGTTATGCAGATGACACAAACTGAGAAGGATCTAGAACACCACTGATGACTATTCCTTAAGATTTAAAAGGACCATTGAGGGCAAAGAAGCTCAGATTTCCTACTCTTAGGGCCTCTGCTTTCTGGACAAAACCTAGCCACTCTCCCTTGCTCTGTGTCTCAGGGGCTGGGCCCCTACTCTCTTCCTCCTGCCAGCTATTTGTGATAAAGGAGGTCAGGGGAGAACTGGCAGGTACAGGAAGTTGGGTTGGTGTCTACTTGATATAAAGAGATCCTAAGGATATGCAGCCTCCCTTAATGAAACAAAATTCAAATTCTCCAAGGTTAGCAAGGTGAGGGAAGACAACTGTTTCTAGGAGACATAATTGTTTCAGTGAAACCCATCTCCCTGTTGGAATTCCCACTGCCAACTTTCTGCTGGCCCTGTAGGCTATGCTCCATGTATCTAAATCCCTAAGTTAGTTCTAAGAGATAGGTTGGACATTGCCAAATATTTTATGAAATATTAATGAAGAGGGGCCAACCCCGTGGCTGAGTGATTGAGTTCGCACACTCTGCTTTGGCAGCCCGAGGCTTCGCCAGTTCGGATCCTGGGCGCAGACATGGCACTGCTCATCAGGTCATGCTGAGGCATCATCCAAAATAGCACAACCAGAAGGACCTACAACCAGAATATACGACTATGTACTGGGGGGTCTTTGGGGAGAAGAAGGAAAAAAAAAAAAAGATGGGCAAGAGATGTTAGCTCAGGTGCCAATCTTTAAAAAAATATATTAATGAAGAAAAACAGGAATATAAGCCCAGAAAATACAAAAAGCATTAAATAAATCTGGCTTCCTTTTCAAGTATAGATTCTTAATTATTTTATAGCTTCTTGATTTATAAAGCCTGCACCAGACTACTGTTGTCTTTTCGTTAGCTTCACACTGCTTTGGAGATAACTTTGCCTGGGTACCTTGCCTGCTTTTTAGTTCAGACTACAAAGCCTGAACTTAACATGGAAGTACCATTCTTCCTCCCTGCCCCCAAGTAATTTTACTGAGATCATAATGGTTTATAACATTGTGTAATTTCGGATGTACGTTATTGTTTATCAGTTTCTGAATACAATTCATCATGCTCACCCCTAGTAGTCTTAATTTTTATCCATCACCATACATATGTGCCACTTTATCCCTTTTGCCCACCCCCCAACTCCCTTGCCCTCTGGTAACCACTAATCTGTTCTCTTTATCTCAAGGTCAGACCTGCCTTACCATGAAAGTACCATCCTTAAAGTCCATTCTTAACGTGCCCCCCAGGAGCTGTTTCTTAAATTTCTTTATCCCTTCTTCATCAAGACTACTGCATTCTGACTCAGTCTCCTAAGGCTCTTTCCCCCATTCTGGTTTCAGGTTTAGAAGTATCTCTTCACTAAGTAAATGACCCCATCCGGGAACCCACCTAACTGAAATTCCTGCCTCCTGGGAGGACCCCTGCAGCTTATCTGTATGTTATCAGAGATAGCTAGCAAATTTTAGTTCTTTCTAGGTAGGTGCTAGGCATTATGCTAAGCACTTTAATAATTTGCTAACACTTTGACTTACATGTGCTTGGCATTGTTGTAAGCTCTCTACATGTATTGATGAATACAGTTCTCACAAAAAGCTTATGAAGTAGATGCAGTTATTCCCGTTTTGTAGATGAGAAAACAGGCACAGAGGACAAGTGATTTGCCCATATTCTTTGCCTAGTGACTGACAGGCAACCTGACTCCAGAATTGCTGTTCTGGTTCTATGCCAAATAGCCGTTCAAACTTCACAAATATTTTTTCATTAATCCTGACAACAAAGGTGGAAGATAGGTTTTCTTTAGAGATCTTAAATAATATGTCTAAGGTCTCACAGCTGGTTAGTGGCAATGCTGGGTTTTGAACCAGATCTGCTCAACTCCAGGACTCGAGCTCTTAACCATTCTGTTAATTCCCCAGAGCTTCTCAAACTCTTCCCACTGGTGTTGCAGCAACTAAACCTAGGTGCCTGGATACTCAAATGGGAACGACATTTTTGCTTAATTTTCAGAAATTATTAATTTTTCTCAGGTGGAAGCATTTCTTAATAGTTTTTCTTTATCAGTGGTAGCTGATATAGCAAGTAGTAGCAAATGATGGAGTGAGAAGTAATGAACAGGTAGGATATATTACCAGAAAAACTCAAATACTTGAGATAACCTCATGGGTGTCACTTTTTTATAGCATATGCATAATGACTTTTTTATGCCAGTAGAATTGTAATGAAATTAAATATACCATTTTATAGTATTCCAAATAAAAGCAACAGGACTTTATGAATCTGAGAAGTTTGAAAGACATACATCATCATATCTGAACAAATGATTATGGTGTAACACACATCTAATTAAAACCCACAGCACTCCTATAACAAACGCTTCATTGCAGGGATGAGCCCTGAGTTTCTGAGAACAATCTTTCCGCAGCCTGGAGGGGGAGTTGAGGGAGGATTGCCCCATTCCCCAACCCCAGGCCTGGCTGCCTTGGAGGTGAGGAGGTCTGAAAGCCAGGTCTGAGCAAGAGCTCTTCCTTCACAGGTGCCAAGGCTATTACAAATACAGTGGCCTTCTCCATTCCACACAGTCCCGTGCTCAAGCAGCCTCACTTCATTTAGACCTGGACGTGCTTAGTGAGGGCTAGGACCAGGAAAAGAACTACTTTTCTCACTTAGTTCCAGGTGGAGGGAAGATGGCTATGATTTCTGGATTGAGAACTCAAAAACGCCTGGAGTTTAAACTTCCGCTTCCTGTCATGGGAATTTTCCATCCAGGCAGGGTGTGGCCATGACTCAGTTTGTGGGGAGGATGTGGCCCTCCATGGGGGAGGAGCCTTCTGCTTGATTCTGCCTTTCATTCTGGCCAGGGGTGGAGACGGAGGGAAGAGTCTGGTGCTGAGTCATAACTGGGTTACTTACTAGCTTCTCACAGGCTGGATTCTGAGGTGGAAGTTTGGGCGATGTCTCAGCTTCTGGGACCACTTTGGGAGTGGTGGGAGGAAACTTCACTGGTCACACAATTACCCCAGAAGGAGTGGGAATAAAGTACGGTCCATTTTGTTTGAAGGGGCATCAGTCTCTCTTGGTATAGGATTTTTCACAAATTTCAGAATCCCCTTGCAGTGGGGCCAGAGACACCACCCTTTAAGTTAAAGCATTGCCTATAAAAATTAGGGGAGAACCCCCAATCTCCTTAGTCCTAGCTATACGTGGGTCCTGCTAGCTGGGAGCCAGTGAGCGTGGAGGTGAAGATGAGAAGTATCGTGTCAAGGAGAAGGCAGACTTTGAACTGCAGCAGCAGAACTTGCTAGGGGAGGGGGCACTTGATCCATTGTTCACTGAGGCCTTTCTTGTTCTTCCAAATCTTGATTACTTTAGGGGACAGGGTCTGCTTACAATTCCACTTGCATTGTAGGGAGCCTAAGCTCTGGCTGCACTTGTAGGGTAAAAGGAGAGAGCACAGGGCTTCCAAGGTAGTGGCTTGGTGGATAGGATTAATGCACCCTAAAGAGGCTTTGTTCTGTGAGCCCTAGTGGTTCTGGGCTAGAGAAAGATTGCTGGAGGTCCTCGGCTAACAAGGTCACCTTGGCTGAGAGAGTATTTCTGCTGGAATAAACAGGACTCTTCAAGCTTCTTCCCTCCTGCTTGTAAGTGCTGATGAGGCATTTTCTCAAGTAGGGGTAGAAAAGAGGGAGGAGAGACCTAGATACACAGTTGCATTCAGAAAACATTCTTTACTATTCCTTCCCATACCCATCTCTATCATAACCAACTCTCTTGTCTCTTCCTCCATGAAACCTTTCCTCTCCTTCACAGACAGCCTGTTCTCTGTTTATCCCTAACTCCAAAAGGCCATCTTTCTTCTGTCCAGGATTTGTCTGAGGGAAACTCTGGAATTAAGATTTTGTGCCACCCTGGTGGGCCTGAAGAGACCTTGGGAGTCTAACGGAAGGCACAGAATAAATTAAAAAGTCTGCTTCGTCTGGCTCTGGAAAGGGCATGTAAAGTCCAAAGTGAGAAGCATTTCTGCTCTAAACCTGACGTTGAGGGCCTATGAGCTGCCCTGGAAGTCTGTATTGGCCTGGGAGAAATAATACTGCTGTTTCAGGCAGAAGTCAAGATGTCAGGTAATGGTAAAGCCTGTAACCTCACCCTCTTCACCAGGGCCAAAGCTTGTCTTTGGGCTCCAGGATTGGGTCCCGTATCCTTTGCTGACATACTACCTTGCCTAGGATTCCAAATGACCTTCAAGAGTTAAACCATTGAACTCCAGATTCTTGGTACTGTGGCTGAGAATCCAAGCAGGTAACAGTAATCTACATCCTCACACCCCAGTCCAGTGAACCTAGAAGCTTCTCCTCTGCCAGGTCTATGAGCACAGTGGAAGGGCTGACTCTAGGGAGAGGAGTCTGGCCTCTAGTTTTGTGTCCTCCCTCAGCTGTTCTCAGTTTCCTGTAGCCCTAGGGTTACTTGTTGCTGAGTCAAAGGAGTGAAGATTCAGGAGAATGGCCCAGAGAAGGGCAAACCGAGTTACTTGAATTTAGAAAGATG